AAAAAGGAAGAGGTGAAGAAAAGGGGCTAAGAACCAGGCCGAATCTAGAGAGGGCCTGGGTCTTGGGTCAGTACGTCCTGCCAGCATGTGAGATGGGCAGAGTAGAACGTTCTCACCATCTCCTGAAGGATGGGGCATACAACTTGGGTAAAACCACCAAAGCCATAACTGCAGACAACAAGGCATCCGACACCAAGTCAAGTGCATCAATGTCTTCATGGATCCAATTGGTGAACAACTCCAAGAGATCCACAAAGATGTCAGTCAGCCCAGAAGTCATCCAAAGCAAGGGGTTCTTGAAAGCAAAGAAAGCTACACATGAAGGTGCCACATACCCACATCCCTAGAAAGAGTTGGAGCAAATAGGCAGTCATTGCCTTTTTTGCTACACTACTGAGTAATTACAAAATAGCAAATGCTGTAATATATTAAACAGAACACCAGTCACCATCAACAGGCCTCATAGGGCAGAATAAACTTTATTCACTGCCTGGTAATGAGGCGACTCGAGAGGAATCAATCTCATAGAGGAAGAAACCCCGAAACTCCAGAAAAATACATCCAGTTCCAGGGAAAGCCAACACCACTTAGCTGAAAGTGACAAACTGCAGAAGACCAAAGCTGTGGAGATCCAGTCACACTGTGTGAACGAGTAAAGGGGTAGTTTAGCTGGACTGTGGGTGACTTGGGCTGCCACTTGGTGGTAGTCAGGTAATTCACATAAGGTCGTTTCCCTCTGCAATGATCATTTGCCTTGTTTATTAAGAAATCTTTAGTATTCAAGCACTCATTTTGTTGTGCCTATGCTGGGCACAACAGCTGGGTGCCTGACAGCTGGGTGGACAGCGCTTGGGATTCGCAGTCCTGAGGTTCCGGGTTCGATCCCCAGTGGAGACGGAGACAAATGGGCAAAATGTTTTTTACCCTGATGCCCCTGTTACCTAGCAGTAAATAGGTACCTGGGAGTTAGAGGCCTGGCCGAGGACCGGGCCGCGGGGACACTAAACCCCGAAATCATCTCAAAATAACCTCAAGATAGATGCTTCCTGGTGAGTATTAAACCTGGTTTTGGGTTGATCTCCAAGCTCCAGGTTCTCCTTCACTTGTCAAATGAACTAGATTCTGGTCCTGGTTTCTGGTACCAGATGCCTGGTATGAGGGGTCTGAGGCTTCATTGTCAAGTATCAAAACTACCTTGTGGCTACCTTGTGTAGCTTCTGGAGATCCACGGCCCCGCGGCCTGGTCTCCAACCAGACCTAGAGGTCTGAGATATAAGGTCTCCATAGACCTTATATCTATTGGTCATTTGGTCAAAACTATTGCGGGTACTTTCCAGAAAATAATGTACTGTGCATAAAACTGGCAATCATGAGGTCTACCATGGTTGGGGAATAGTAAGCCTGTTAGGCCTTTCTAGGTCTGCTTAGGTCAAAGACTGACCTTCTCTAGAATGCAACCCACAACAGCCTGCCTAAACCCCCAGGTACCACCAAACTGCTAGGTGAACATAGGTATAAAGAATAAGAAAATGTGCCCAAAGGTCTCATTCAGCCTGGGAATCACATGTGGGACCATTTGGTCGTGAGCTGCTGCACTGACCACTAACAACAGGTCACAAAACAAAGCAGCACAAACTGCAGCATTATCAAACAAACAATAACTCTAGTATGGATAAATCAAATAAAACCACTCCTGAGATATGTATATAATTTGACATTTTAATGTTTATACAACAAATTTACTAAAATTCACTTATGAAAAGGTTTCATAAAAAAATCCTAGTTTAATTTTGTATGGGTTATGATAATGAGTACCGTGAAATATTTTGTGATGATATGAGCATGAGTTTGTGATGAATGAGTGATGATGACCTGAGCATTTAAAAAGCATTGATATTATGAACTCTAGAAGCTACAAATCCGATACAAGTCTCCACATACTGTATATATTATTCCCAACCTTATACACAGTTGTATATAAATACTGCATTACTCTAAACTTACAGGAAAATCAATTTCTCAAACTTGCGTCTATATTACTCTTGAGAGCCTAGGGAAAATGGTCAAACGCTTGGGAATGTCTAGTTTTCGTTTTCCCAAGAGTATACAATATATACTGTACACCTACTGTATATATGTACAGTATGTCGTACCTAATAGCCAGAATTACACTACGGGCATTAGCATGTAAGCTACGCTTTGCCTATTACCTAGAATGTGTTTGTTTTCTATCTGAAATTTTTTTATTTAAATTGTTTTAGATTCAGCTACTCTGATCAAAATTTCCATGTAGCACGGGCTATGGTGAGCCCGTAATAATTTAAATGAAATGAAAAGAACTATGATACTGACAAATCTTGACAAATGGAATACTCTATACATATACTGTATACATGAACAATTATTAAAAAAAAATTGTATTAGATAGGTATAAAAATTACCCCTGGGAACCTCCGGGCACACAGGCCAATAATCGACTTTCAAGGACACAGACCTACAACTCTCACCACATGATCGAAAGCCTCCTGGGGCAGAAAGGGGACGGCCCGCAACACCAGGGAGAATGATGGCAGACACTGCAAACTGAAAAGTACAAAACCAGATGGGGAAGTTACAACAATATGAGTGAAAATTTGGCTGAGACAGAGAATCCCCATAAGTACAAGACACTGGCTATCCAGACCATCAGCACGGGAGAACATACAAGAAAATAAATTATTGTGTGCATCCCAAGGGTACCCTTTGTTAAAGTGCAAGGTTCCAACTTTGTACAGGGAGCAGAAACAGGCGTGATAACGACGTGATCATACCGCTATCAGCTACACTCCACAGTGGAGAACAAGTCTCTCACATTGGCCGGAGGCGAGGTGACTCAAGGAGTCAACTCGTGGAGGAGGAACCCAATTCTCTCAGAGCAAGTACCTCTGGTGGAGCAAGAACAAAATATAAGCCGATTACCATGGAAGATAATCCTAGCACACAATCCATGTGAAATATAAAATTATACAGCACAAACCACTTCCACAAGCCCACAATGCTTCCAAACACGTACACCATTTCCACATGCGCACACCACTTCCCACGTGCGCACCACTTCCACATACGCACACTACTTACCTTGTGTCCACCTTGTAATAGTTTCAAAGATTAATGTCCTTGCAGTCAGGTCTCTGACCAAGCCCCGTGGTTAGTGTCAGGTCATCTAGGCTGGCAGGCACAGCTGTTCACAGTCTGACATATTAATGGTTGATCAGGTATCCTCTGAAGTTGTTTATAGTCCTGCCCTTTATGTATAGAGGAAGAATACACCTACTTCACACAATTTCTTCCAGAGCAAAGTACACATATACTGTAATGTATAATTTCACCATGACCAGGAAAAAACACTTTTCTTGTGTTACTCAGTTGTTCATATAATGTATTTTGAAATAACAACTCACTTCCCAGGACTGCATTATATAAGGTAACTGGTGCATTTTATAAGGATCACCTATACTACCTAACATTGGTAAATACTAGGCCAAAGTTAAAAATTTATATTTTAAATATATTATTATTAGGGGTGAACTAATTTGCAAGGAAATATTTGAAAAATGCATAATAACCTTAGCTGTTAAGCAAAAATGGGCCTTGCTTACTAGGCCAAGCAGCCAGATTCTGGCTATTAAGTAAGACATACATACCTGGTACATATGTTTGTATATGTATATGCATGCATGCATTTTTTTTTATTTATTTATTTTATTTATATATATATATATATATATATATATATATATATATATATATATATATATATATATAAACATACACAATCATTCATTCACAAGGAGAAAGGCATTCTCTTTTGAACACTGAAAAGTCAGCTGGTCCTGTCTCTCTTGTATAGAGGAAGAATACACACTTACTACACACTCATTCTCACACACACACACACACACACTTAGGGGATATGATAACTACATACAGTATCATGAGGGGAATAAAGTGGATGAAGGAAGCCTATTTCAATTAGAGAGAAGGGGGGGTAAGACGACGGAACACCAGTAGCAGCTGTACCTGCAGTTGAATCAAAGAATCAAAGAGATGTAATGTTCTTGTTCTTGAGATGTCCTTGTTCTTGTTTACTGTATGGGTGGTCAGAAAGTGGAGTGCATTGGAGGAAGGGGTTGTAGAAGTCAACTCTATCACTGCCCAAAGTTGAAATACTGAGCAGTTGTATGGTGCCCATCTTATCTTGAGATGATTTCGGGGCTTTAGTGTCCCCGCGGCCCGGTCCTCGACCAGGCCTCCATCCCCAGGAAGCAGCCCGTGACAGCTGACTAACACCCAGGTACCTATTTTACTGCTAGGCAACAGGGGCATAGGGTGAAAGTAACTCTGTCCATTGTTTCTCGCCGGCGCCCGGGATCGAACCCGGAACCACAGGATCACAAGTCCAGCGTGCTGTCCGCTCGGCTCCCCATATCTTAAGCAGCACATCAATGAAGTGGAAAAGGTGCAAAGACATGCAAGTAAATGGCTTCCAAAACTGAAAGAGAAGAGCTATGAAGATAAAAAGAAAAAGAGGCGATATGATCACCACTCACAAAATAATATCGGGAATTGACTAAATTGACAAAGAGGAATTCGTGAAACCAGCAACCTCAAGAATAAGCGGGCACAGATTCAAGCGTAGGAAACAAAGATGTCGAAAATATGTTAGAAAGTTTTCTTTTGTAAACAGAGTGGTAGACAGTTGGAACAATATTTAGTGAGGTGGTGGTGGAGGCCAAAACCATCAGTAATTTCAAAGAGTAATACAATAATGAGTACTGGGAAGACGGGACACCACGAGCATCCTGTAACTACACTTTGGCAATTACTTACATACACACACACACACACACACACACACACGAACATTATTCACAGCAATTTATTATAAACATCTATTTTCACCCATGTTTGTTTCCAATTAATAAAGCACATGTTTTGTTGTTCACAGTAAAGCAATCATCCACGGTTCACCAGTGCTATTGCTTTTATTACACTGCCATAACAAAATACACATGTGACAAATGTACTGTATGTCCTATGTACATCATGAAAGCATTCATCATGTCAGTATTTCTGCATTAGCCAAGCATACCCTTGAGCTAGTCATTGCTAAGGAGATGTACAAGTTTAGATTCAAGATTTTTGACCATTCTAAAAAGCACACTTGCCTCTAATTAGTACAGTAACAGTGTACTACATTTAATTCAGTACTAAAAATCAATCATTATTCAGAAAAAGTGTCCTAATAAAAACATTATGTATCCCACCCCCTCCATTATTTCACATAACATATTAATTGGAGAAAGTTATCTTGGGTAGTAAATACAATCGCAGATTTATCAACTTGATGTATATGGCCTCACATTCATATTACCATTATCATAAATACAGCATACATATTTAGAATTTTCCAAAGTCAGCACTTATAGTCTAAATTTTATACAAAAAACTATTTGTGCAATACATCACAGTTGAGCTAAAAAAACTTAACCCTATCCATGACAAATAATGCATTATGTATAATGACTTTCTGCAGAACCTCTTCACGCAAACTGTAATTATAAAATACAAAATTGTGATTGAATGCACCATAGATCAACTGCATAACACCCATGATAATTAATAACGTGTTGCAGTTACAGTCAGAAGAGTATGATTGTCCTCCAGAGCCAAGACCGGCACTAGTGATATCGTAGCCAGACCCCGAGGCACCGCCTCGACGAGGGCTTGTTGCAGCAAGGAACGAGACAAGCCACCACTACGGTAAAATAATGTTAGTCCGAAGGGCATCGCAGTATCGGCTTTGGTAATCGTGTACTGAATGACTTCTTTTATCATCTCACAACTTAGGTCATCCGGTGAAAAACAACCTGCAAACATAACCAAGGCATTTAGAAACACACACACTTATCAATACAGGTACTTCATGGCAAAAGGGAAGGAGAAAAAAATAAGAGAAAGATAGAGATAGATAGATATATAAAAATGAGATATAGATATATAAACAGAGAGAGAGAGAGAGAGAGAGAAAGGCTCCAGCACACAATTGGTTACTGGCACATACTGTTCCTCATATGATTGTTACTTACATTAAAAAAATAATTATTCCTAATGATTAAAAACATAACAGGTCTCTCTCTTATGACTCAGATAATCAAATTTTCAGGTAGAAATTGTTTTCCCATCAAGGGCCGTGATCTATTCCATCAAGGTTCTAACATGTGTTAGCTACATTCCATGATTAAAGTCATATACTAAAGATTATTCAAAACTTACTTGCTGTTGTGTTGACCGCACAAACAGAGTTGTCATGATACCATCTTCTTCTTAATCTTACGCTAACATTCCCTCTTGTATAACCCTTCTCTTCATCTGAAACACCAAAAATCAGCATTTTCTTAATCCTGTCAAGGTATTCGGTAAGGGGAAGGAGAAGGAAGAAGTGCTAATGATAATCTGTTAAAGTGTGAGGTTCACTCCTTGAACCGGCAGCTCCATAAAAAGTTTCAAACATAGATATGACAGAGTTCATTATGCTCGAGAACCTGTACACCAGTTGAAGATTGAGAGTATACCTGGAGCATACCTGCAGAGGGTCACAGGAGTTTTTCTAAACCCTGCATCTGGTCTGAGGCCAAGGTCAACTTTATAACTTGGTTCAACAGGTTTGGAGCGGCCTACATATCCGCTACAACCTGGTTGCTCCGGCATTTTCTTGCAAGAACTTGTCTAAGGGCCTCTTGAATACCTTCACCTTTGTTCAGGCAATATTTCTAATGCTTGCTGGGTGTTGAATAGTCGTGGGCCCCTGATGTTAAGACTCGGTGCCTATGGCACCTATACTCCTCACTGGTTCTGTTCTGCATTTCCTTCCCTATCTTTCGCTACTTTTATGTTGTTATTCTACTGTGCAAATTTGAGACCTGGCCTTCCAGTATCTTCCATGTATATACTATTTCATACCTTTCTCATCTCCTTTTCAGAGAGTACACTTTGAGAGCTTTGAGATGGTCCCAGTAATTTAGATATTTTATCGTTTCTATGCGTGCCATATATGTTCTTTGTATTCCCTATAATACAGAGATCTCTCCTGCCCTGAAAGGGGAAGTGAGTACCGAACAATACTCAAGACAGGACAGCACCAGTAATGTAAATAGTACCATACTGTATTAGCATTGCTATGGGGTCTCTGGATTGGAACACTCATAATCCATCCTATCATTTTCCTGGCCACCACTATATTTGCTCGGTCATGTTCACTAAATGTCAGGTCGTCAGACATCATAATTCCCAGATCTTTTACATGTTGCTTTCCTTCTATGAGTAGGTTTGATTGTGTCCTGTGACCATAGAGCTAAAGCTCAAACACTGCCAGCATAATTTGGTGAGTGTAAATAAAGACAGCAAACAAGCAGAGGAAAATATACAAAAAGGATACATCAAGAGGATAATTATACTTGAGCTATCACTCATATATGATGAGTGATCAGTAAAGATAATGTTGGTGAGCTTAGCTGTGGCATTCTTAATACAATGACAGATGCAGGACACTATAAATTATGTGGAAATTTAGATAAACTATCAATGTAGGTGAACAATCATGAGAACAGCAGTGAAAGAATGTAAGAAAATGATTATCTTGACACGGGCAGAACTACCGGTAGTTAAATAACTCGCACTGTACAGGAATTTCGAGAATGAGATGAGGAAAGAAGCAAAACTTAATAATAATAATAAAAAGCATTGACTATAATGAAATTCCTTTTTCCTGTTGGGTATAAAGTTGCTGCTAGCTATTTACTTTGGATAGTTTCACACCTATGAAATCTCACCAAGCCCTTGTGAGCCATTAACTGTTGCTTTACCCATTGGGTTCCCATTTTTTTCAGATAAGTAATTACCTCAGTCTAGTGCCTAGGGCCATTGTGACCCAGACCTTGAGTAGCTAGTGGCGTGAGGAACTCGGCAGTGTACAGTATGATTAAACTTTTGCAGGAAATAATATAACATTTATAACATTAATACCATAAGGATCACACAATTGCTGTACTGTACATTAAAAGAAAGTGAAGATTGCAGAATAAATGTATTTTCTGTGAAGTTTTGAAGCAGAACAGCAGTATCCCAGTCAGAGTCAGCTGCCCTCCTGGGCCAACATGTTAGCTTGTGGTGTGAAAACACCACAAGCTAACAACACCACAAGCTTTCACTTTGTGGTGAAAACACCACAAAGTAGTGTTCACAAAGTGTTTTCACCACTTTCACCACTTTGTGGTGAAAACAAAATTCGTTATATTTATCTATATTTGTGGGTCCAATGACAATCTTATAATTGTGATACCAAAATGTTCACTAATGATGGCGCTAATATATACTATACTGCAAAACAAGAATTGTGTAATCAATCCATTTTCTGTGAAATTTGTATTGGAATCACATCTGCCAGGAGGCATTTTCGATCCGCATATCTTCATAATTATTTTAAAATTTTTGTGGTGATTAATTGGTATATACTCTACTACAGTATATGATTGTGGAGCTGATATGATAATTGCTTTATCATATGATACAAATAAAACAATGAATACATAATAATGCAAATGCATTTTATGCAAATTTGTAAAATGGAACCGACTTGCAGCACCTGTGATATATTGGGGAGGCATTTGCACTTGCTTTACTGTGGGGGAACAGAAAACACTCACTGAAGATGTCAATTCTAAGCTGTATAGTACTGTTGGGATGGTTAAAGTGTAGGTTAAATATATATATATGCAGTACAGTGATAGCAGTTACCCAAAACTGTGGGCCAAAGTGGGAAGATGAAACGAGGCTTACCAATGGAATAAAATCATTCCTTAAACCTAATCATATCCACCCCATATATAACTTGAAGTGAACTTCCATTCCCATTTGAAATTCAGAAACTAAACACATGTTTTTTTTCAACCAAAGTATCAAGCACGATACTCAAAATCTATGATTGACTTACATTCAAACTTGTCATTTTCAACACAAGCCCAAGTTTGCCACTCCACTAAGGCAGCACGTGGCAAGCCAGGCACCACAACATACGTCGAGATCTGAGACTCACTCAGCCGAGCCATCATCCTTCTAGCCACACCAATGTCCGATAGTCTGGTCACAAAACAAACACCCTGGAAAATAAAATACACTTTTTCTAGTATGCTTCCATACATCAATCTAAACTTTCATCAAGTCCCAAATGCAAACCACAACCCTTCTTTGTCCTACTCTCTCACATTTGACTCGTATCACACACTCGGATTAGCTGTTAATGCATGTACTGGTACAGTCAACTACCTCGCATCTGGCAGATTCAGTACCAAAGGTCAAATGGATACAACACCTGGATGTGGCCACAAACCCGAGTCTCATCCCCAAATACACACACGTCTAAATGAGGAGAGTCATTAACACATTAACTGCCTAAGGAGAGCACAAAATGGCAGAATGATTAGGAAGGGAAGGATTAGACAATATTTATTTATAGAGGATCAGTAGAGATGTAATAAGGGCAGTAATGAGACTGAATTTTTGGGTTTAATAGTGTAGTGATAGGATTTACAGAATAAATATTGATGAAAGGGAGAAACCCATGCTTGGATGAAATTATACAAAGTGGAGCCACAGGAAATCAGTATAGGAAAAATAATAGGGGAAACAACTTCATACAAAACATGTATTTAAACAAAACCAACAATATAGTGTAATTACCTAAGTGTAGTTACAGGATGAGAGCTACGCTCGCGGTGCCCCGTCTTCCCACCACTCTTTATCATATAATGCTTTGAAACTACTGACGGTCTTGGCCTCCACCACCTTCTCACCTAACTTGTTCCAACCGCCTACCACTCTACCACTAGTACTCGCCTAATTGTACTCACCTAATTGTGCTTGCGGGAGTTGAGCTTTGGCTCTTTGGTCCCGCTTCTCAACTGTCAATCAACTGGTGTATGTCAATCAACTAGTGTATGTCAACTGTCAATCAACTAGTGTACATTCAAAAGTACTCAAACAAAAACCAGGTAGTCAGCACTACCATCCATGATATAAACAAGTCCTGACAGAGAGGGAATAGACAGAGAAGAGAGAAAAAAGAAAAGTCCAGCATTAATTGTACTTTTTGGCAAGTCTTCACAGTGGCTTCCCAAACTAGCCCCCTTGTCCAAACCTAAAACACCCCACCAGGCCCTTGTGAGTCATGAGTGAGTCCAGCCACCTTAACAGAACAAAGTGTCTGGGGATAATCAACCAACCTAAGCCAGGAGACAGAGAAAAAAAAAAAACAGAAATAGAGAGCATCCCAAAACTACTAAGAGCATGGAAAGCGTTAACAACCCTGACACACAAACTATTGTATGTACACACTCGAAACCCAGTTCCAATTGCTAGTTACACTCATTCATCGCCAGATGGCAGCCTGAAAAACAGGGACTCCAACTGGCTGCCCACCTCAGACATGCTACCCAACAACCCACCCCTACAAAAGAGGAGAGACAGAGAGAGAGAAGGAAGCAAACATGGAGCCACCAATGGTCCCACCAAAAAGATATGTTTTTATTAAATTCAGTACTAGATTTCTGGGAGGGCTGCTCTCGGTAGCTCTCCAAGCTGAGCATAAAGAACACAAGCTTACCAGAACAGCAACCAGGAGGCCTGGTCGACGACCGGGCCGCGGGGACGCTAAGCCCCGGAAGCACCTCAAGGTAACCTCAAGGTAAGGTAAGCCCAAAAAGGCAAACTGAGCAGGGTCATCCAACCTAAAACCAAACAAATCCAATGTGGCCAAAGTAAAATCCAAGTAAAACACCAAAATCTGAGTCCAAAACTTGATCCAAAACATATCCATTAAAAAATAAAAAGAAGGTGGAGAGAGATGAAAACTTGTGGACATTATGGGGACACGGATAGGCCACAGGCAGGCATAACTGAATCACCCAGCACACACCTGAAGACAACCTGGTCATGAAACAAGGAGTCAAGGACACTGGGATGAAAAATGAAGCATTATCCAGGGCACCTCCAGTAGCCCATAAGGGGCAGCAAACGGCCTCAACCGGATATAGAAAACCAAACAAATCAAAACAACAACTGAAGGGCATCTTTAAAAACTTTCCTTTCTAATCCTTTACTGAGTAGGAAGAAGACTGCTGTAGAAACAAACCCCAGAACTAAAAGAACAAAACCCCCAATTCCAAAGGAGAGTAAGAAGACCCTTAACTCAACAACACATGAGAGCCAACAATAACACCACCTTAAGAAGAAGAAAAAACAGTTCCTGGACCTAAGGAAACACTCCAGTTGATACTCAATACAGAATTAAACCCTTGAGAATCCCTTAGCTGAGCTACATATAGAGTCCAGCACCATACCGAAGAGATCAAATTAACCCACCACCAGTGAGGAAATGCACCCTGGGAGACCAGTTGGAGTGGAACCGGATCATGGAGCCCCGAAATAAACAAGCCCCCCCCCCACAGAGGATACCCAATTGCTACCAACTCACAAACTGTGATACCAACCCACCTAAGACTAACCACACAATGGCCGTGACCTGCCTGGCGAGTGTTGAAAACCCCAACTCTCACTCTGGTAGGACTTTTGAATGCTTCCACCAAGAAGACAGGGCTCTATATTATTTAATCTTTACCAAATATATATAGCCAAAACCCAAAAATAGCATTGGAAATGGTGTCCTAATAAAGAATATACATAACAGTAAGACATACTTGCACGACAGCTCTTATATCAGAGGATGAAGCCACTGCTGTGATGACTCTTGACACATGTCGCAGAGCTAGACGAGCTTGTACTTCAACTCCTCCAGTTACCACTTGTAATGTGCCTGGCACCAGTCCAATCATGCCAGCCACCACCACCACACTGCCCACCTGATACAAATCACAGAAAAAATTATATACAAAATACAAATATGTTATGCTTGTATATTCCAAAAACAACGGAATCTCAAAATTCCAGCACTCGAACACTTTAGCAACTCAGATGTTTATTACTGTTGAAAAATGTAGTACAGAGTGTTCTCCACCGTAGTACAAGATCCAGAGACCTTTACAGGCTTAGACCCTATGTTTTTCCACGATCTACCATTTATTCACAATATCTAAGGTATTGTGAATAGCCACTGTCTGAGCAACATGGACACCGGACAGTTGAGAGTTTGGTAATACTCAGTTACTGTACAGTATACGAACACCTGTCTGACCCAAGCTAGTTATACAATGCCTGTTATTTTACAACCATTTGTCTTAATGTTTAAAATCCCCGTCTAATACACCAAAGGTATAAAGTTAACATATAATTTTATCAATGCAAATAATTTATCTATCAACTGTATATCTATTGCTAACCCTGATGCATTACTGCTTCTGGGAGCATCCCATTAGGTGATAAATAAAGCAGAAATTTCTCACTCACTCACCATACAACCCATTCATTCTTTTGAGATCACCAACACAACTCATCCATCCTTCTTTTCAAAGAATAAGGGCCATACATCTATTTCTCTCTAACACACACACAGACACATACACTTGCTCCCCGAACTTCCCTAGTTTAAAATTTATTAATTTTTGGTCCAGAATCGGCCAATCACAGCTGTATATGCCTAGCTAAAAAGCATCACAGTCATTATGAGAGTAAATTTACACCGTTATTAGAATTAGGTAGAAGGGAACTATGAGGAAGAAGCACCAAGCCATTACGACTATATAGCACTTGGAAGGGGTCAGGATAAGGATTTGGGATGGGACGGGGGAAAGGAATGATGCCCAACCACTTAGATGGTCGGGGATTGAACGCCGATCTGCATGAAGCGAGACCGTCGCTCTACTGTTACTAAAATGAGGTAGAATTGAAGCTCCACTATAAGCTGACACACCTTTACTGCCTGGCTATATGGCCCAATATTGGCTGGTGCCCAGTGAGAGATGCCCTGGACGTGCATAGTTGTGCGAGATGTGGGATGTAACGTATTTTCATCCTCATCAGTGGTCATATGACTCTGTCTCCAACCAGACACATCAAACTGTACTCTAACATCACTTGGAAGAGGCACCTGAAACAAAATGTTAAATCTTGTGTAAATTCACATTAAAAGCAAAAATTGTAATACAGTAGTATTAGTAGTACTGTAATAGTATAAACAGTACAAGCAGTCCTCAACTACTGAATGGGATGTGTTCCAAAATAGCACTCTTAAGTAAGTTGTTCTCAACACTCAATCAAATTGCCTTCTTCTTGAGGTTATCTTAAGATGATTTCGGAGCCTGGGGTCCCCGCGGCCCGGTCCTCGACCAGGCCTCCTTTTTGTTACACATCCCAAGAAGCGGCCCATAGCAGCTGTCTAACTCCCAGGTACCTATTTACTGCTAGATGAACAGAAGCATCAGGATGCAAGAAACTCTGTCCATTTGTTTCCACACTCCTCTTTAACACCAATTACAGGAGCTTTCCTTGATATCAACCGACATGGTGAATTAGTAGCATTGTTCAAAATTTTGGGACTTTGGAATTGATTCATATAGTGGGAGGTGCCAAAATGGGGACTTAAGAGGCTACTTACAAGATCAGATGTTTGTAAGCCAGGGATCCTTCCCCTGCCACTGAATGTAATCAAATGCCTCTTTCTGCGTGGGTCCTCGATGGCTCCCTGTTACTATGCTGCACTGAGATAGTTCCACACTTGTATGACATCAGCCCTTATGAGTCAAATTAAAAGCAACTGGGGACAGTAAGGAGGGGACCAATCAAAGAGCATTAAGGGATGAAGTGGACCTAGTAATGAACCTAGGGGGACCCCATTTGAGCTCCCTCCTATCCCCAGAAGTTTAAAATCATGACCCCGAAGCAGAGCCTTGTTCCCCAATCTGATGCTTGATCGAACAGGAAGGCATCATCCCAGACTAAAGGATTGGAGCACAATACACCCCCTATGAAATAGAAGCCTCCAAATCCCTGACAGGAAAGGATGCCCTAAGCTATCTACTGTACAATGCAGATGGGAAAGGAGCAAACCCAGGAGGAGGAGGAAGAGCTGCATCCTACCCAGACTTTGAAACCCTCAAACATTTCAGAGTCTAGAGCATGAGGAGCAGAAAAGGTGGGGGGGAAAGGGCCCAGGGGCCAGATTCACGAAGCAGTTACGCAAGCACTTACGAACATGTACATCTTGTTTCAATCTTTGGTGGCTTTGTTTACAATTATTAAACAGTTGATGAGCTCCCAAGCACCAGGAGGCTGTTTATAACAATAACAACAGTTGATTGGGAAGTTTTCATGCTTGTAAACTGTTTAATATATGTAACCAAAGCCATCAAAGATTGAGGAAAGATACACACGTTCGTAAGTACTTGCGTAACTGCTTCGTGAATCTGGCCCCAGAGGTTTGACAAACAATGCCAAGTGGAACCGGAAAAGAAGAAAGACAGGCAAACTTCAAACAGGCAGAATCCATCGGCTACTCCTACTTCAAATCCATGAACATCACAGGGGTCAACTCCAGGTTACCCAAGTCAGCATCAAGCCATAACAAGTTTAAAGAAACAAACAAACCCATACAGCAGCTGCTTCTCACTATAAGCCTCTTGTCTAGAAGTAGGCTCTGCTAGAGTTGAGACCTAGCAAATGCAAATGTCGCAGGCCTCAGGTAGGAAGGTATCACCTGCCCAGAAGGCAGCATGGAGAAGACAGGATGAATGACCACCGACATGTAGCAAGGGCAATGAACATCCCTCAAACCTCACAGGTAGCAAATACGGGATCAGCAGGCCACACTAAAGACCTTGCCATGGCACCTAGGCTCCTGGGACACTCGCTAAAAGAACTGACACCGAACAAAGACCTGAGGATAAACATGGCATTGATTGGCATCAGAGGCGTGCAATATATATACGAACACGTAAACCCTAGTGTACCCCATAACAATAAACCTCTGAATGCCTGACTTCAGAACCTCACAGAGGAGTCAATGATCCTTCGGGGTAGGGAGGGGGCGCACCCTACACAGTAAACTGGCCTTTACAAGATGAACTCTTGAATCCACCAGGAACATTACCCCTGGCCGAGCAAGGGCATTATTGGACGAGTGCTTAGGGAAACGCAGCCAAAGCACATGCAGCTCAAAGTAAACCGTTCCTAAAGTCCACAAATGTGAGGCTTGTAAAGACACACACATGAAGCAATACTAAATATTGAAGTAATACACTAGCACAGAGAAATGAACATCATAAGGCCGTGATGAGGAACATGGAATCCTCATCATGGCTCGAACTAACTTTCTCAGCTCCCTAGCAAATGGGTCCCCATGGGGGCAGAGGTTATCTTGAGGTTATCTTGAGATGATTTCGGGGCTTTAGTGTCCCCGCGGCCCGGTCCTCGACCAGGCCTCCACCCCCAGGAAGCAGCCCGTGACAGCTGACTAACACCCAGGTACCTATTTTACTGCTAGGTAACAGGGGCATAGGGTGAAAGAAACTCTGCCCATTGTTTCTCGCCGGCGCCTGGGATCGAACCCAGGACCACAGGATCTCAAGCCCAGCGTGCTGTCCGCTCGGCCGTCCGGCTCCCAGAGCAGAGTCCAAAGGATGGCAAATACTTATCTACGAAATAATTGAAACCTGAAAAGTTGGTGGCTCAAAGAGCAGTTGAAATTGTTGGATATCAGGCAATGGAGTGAGGCATTTTGACTTGGGAGCCGGCAGCTCCCAGTAGTCCTGCCACCTGGTGTAACCAGCTGTAACTAAGGGAATTTGACCTAACTGCTGGGTGGCACATTTGGGGAATCCATTTGCTGCACCGTTTCTCTTTTTTGCAGCATTCTGTTTAGCTTCGCTGACTTTCTGGATTTTAGAAGCTAGACATGCAATTGTGATACAGAGATGAATGGAAGCTCTCAGTCCCTGTACAAGTGGTAAGTAGAATGCACTAAAGAAAAATGTTGAAGCCAATTCCATTCAGAACTTTCAACATATGATGAAAACATTAATACTGAGAGGGGTAATTAGTGTGCCAGGTATAAATGGCTAAGAGGCAGGGCATAAAGAGCCAGATCTCGCTTCCCAGTAGTCACAAAGTAAACACTGATGGTGTCAGATTCTGGCTTTGTGCTCTGGTAGGCTATTAAGGGGCACCTAGGGATGATGATGTATATATCTGGAACTATTTCAGTACAGCTAGCTACAGGGAGCCACAATTTAGCCCCTCCAGAAAACTTGCAAGCTATAATTTAAAACATTTTAAAACAAACTGCTATAATACAAATACAATAAAGATTAGATACTTGGCCATTTCCCACATTTAATAGGGAAATGGCAGAGTATCTAAGGTGTACGTGTAGACTTTACGGTCAATTTACGATCAAAGTATGCCTACCTCTACACAAACTCTAACTGGTGGATTAGATGAGAAGTATTTGATGTACTGAGCATTGAGTTGGACATAATCATTTATATCCTGCACGTACATCTTCACACAAACTAAGTGATGCAACTCCATTTCTTCACCAAGCAAACATTCTGAAAAAGAACCATTGTGACAAATTAATAACAAAACAAACACACCACTTCAGGAAGAACGCAGGATAGTTTTAGAGGCTGCAAGATGCTATGGGGAAATTACCGTCACCAAGACCCATGAGCAGCCCATTAAGGCCTGCGCAACCATTAAATCTGCCAGCGGATTTAAGGTTGCCAGCGGATAAGGCCTGCACAAACCATTAAAGCTGCCAGCAGATTTAAGGTTGCCAGCGGATAAGGCCTGCACAAACCATTAAAGCTGCCATTAAGGCCTGCGCAAACCATTAAAGCTGCCATTAAGGCCTGCGCAAACCATTAAAGCTGCCATTAAGGCCTGCGCAAACCATTAAAGCTGCCATTAAGACCTGCGCAAACCATTAAAGCTGCCATTAAGGCCTGCGCAAACCATTAAAGCTGCCATTAAGGCCTGCGCAAACCATTAAAGCTGCCATTAAGGCCTGCGCAAACCATTAAAGCTGCCATTAAGGCCTGCGCAAACCATTAAAGCTGCCATTAAGGCCTGCGCAAACCATTAAAGCTGCCATTAAGGCCTGAGCAAACCATTAAAGCTACCATTAAGGCCTGCGCAAACTTACATGACGGTATATTTTTATTTCCAGACACCTCATACAGCAATAAAGGATGCTAAAACATGAATATATGCAAAGATATGTTCTATCATTCAGGGGTCAGAAAAAATACTTTTAGCAAAAATATGGCAAAACATTGTGCTGGAACAGATCTGGTCCTAATTAGTGTGTTCAAGCAAGATGCCACTATATTAGCTATTACATTGTTTACCAAAGAAAAAATACCAAAATACAGCAATGTGCATAAAAAAAATGCCAATTCAAACTGAACATATTACCAATTCAAACCAAAAATCCTACCTTTTAACTTCATGAGAGCTTCCTCTGCAGTGTGGCCAGAGAAGCTGCCAGCAAAAGTAAAGCCGGTGATGGTGCGAACAACACTGAAGTGCAGGTCATCTGGCACTTCCGGTGAAGACACCACGTCACCTTCAAATGGCTCATAGCTGAAAATTTTAAACGACTGAAATTTCCATATGGATAAAACAGGCAAGGGAGGGGGGAGGGAAAGTTGCAGACATATTGGGCCAAGTTGACCAGACCACACACTAGAAAGTGAAGGGACGATGGACGTTTCGGTCTGACCTGGACCATTCTCACACAATCGACTTGAGAGTGGTCCAGGACGGACCGAAACGTCATCGTCCCTTCACTTTCTACTGTGGTCTGGTCAACATACTTCAGCCACGTTATTGTGACTCATCGCCTACACATTGAGCCAAGTAGTGACAGGGAGGCATATTTACAAATGAGGAATAGATACAGTTCGTATAAGCTTATATCTGGTAAGAATATAACTGAGTATATGATGGTATGGTATAAAGATGACATAAGAAAAAGCAACAAGTGGAAGAGTAAAGGGATGCAGGAGGTAGAAGAACTACACAAGTGGTATACAAGGTAGCTATACATGTAGAGGAATAATGACTGTGAACAATGGCCGTTTCACAAGTACAATAACCCCACAGAAAAGAAACACACTTCTCTCATTCACTTTTGTAAACAGAGTGGTAGACGGTTGGAACAAGTTAGGTGAGAAGATGGTGGAGGCTAAAACCGTCAGTAATTTCAAAGCATTATATGACAGTGCTAGGGAGATGGGACACCACGAGCGTAGCTCTCATCCTGTAACTACACTTGGGTAATTACTACCTGAAGGTGTAACCTACACAAAACCTCATCATGGCTCATTACCAAGTCGCAACTGAGACATACAAAAAGAAAGCCATGATGAGGCCAGAGAGCAAGTGGGATGGACAAGGTGGTCAGGTGTAAACGGAAAAAGCAAAGCATGAAAAACAGAGCTGAAGGCAATTTCCTGGATGACAGCAGAGAAGACTTCTTTTTGTGTTCACATTATTCGGTATTTAATCTCTGTATAAACTACATCAAAGCTTTGTGCAGGTGAATTATTAATTATGCATACAACAACTCACAATGGGCAATAATATATTACAGCAACAATAATATATTACAAGAAATATTACAGGAACAACCGTGGACATCTTCAAGAGGAAATTAGATTGTTTCCTTCAAGGAGTGCCGGACCAACCGGGCTGTGGTGGGTATGTGGGCTTGTGGGCTGCTCCAAGCAACAGCCTGGTGGACCAAACTCTCACAAGTCAAGCCTGGCCTCGGGCCGGGCTTGGACAGTAGAAGAACTCCCAGAACCCCATCAACCAGGTATATGTGGGCCTGCGGGCCGCTCCAAGCAACAGCCTGGTGGACCAAACTCTCACAAGTCAAGCCTGGCCTCGGGCCGGGCTTGGGGAGTAGAAGAACTCCCAGAACCCCATCAACCAGGTATCAACCAGGGCTTGGGCAAATTCAAAATTTGTAATTGAAAGAATAACTGGCAAGTCGATGCAATCATTGCAAAATGAAGATGATGGAAAGATATTTCTTCTTAACTATATTAACTTAATACTTGGTGCACCTAAACAAATGAAGGTTCAGGTATCTCAGCTCAACAAAGATAATAGCACAGTGACTGGAAATCCTATTTTGACACACTACTACTACTACTACTACTACTCTCAGCTGTGTTTATATGTTGGACACAATGCCAGTGGATCAACACGGAAACACAAGATGTAACATCAATTACAGATTCACAAAATTGTACAGAATTACATCCTCGGATTTGTAGTTCTGAGGTTCTGGGTTCGATCCCCGGTGGAGGCGGAAATAAATGGGCAAAATATTTCTTTCACCCTGAAAGAAATTTGTTACGTGCCCCCTGTTACGTAGCAGTAAATAGGTACCTGGGTACCAACTAGAGAAGGGAACTCTAGCCCAAGCAGTTGGTGAGCCAAAAAACAAGGCTGCACATGATGCAAAAAACTGAAGGAAATACAAACATGCCCCTGCAGGACAAACTCTAAGACAACAGCCAACACTTAGCTTATGTGAAGTCAGAAAGAGTGGATAGGACACTAAGAGCTAATAATACAACCACACCAGGTGCATGATTGAGGTAGATAGTAAGGAAGGAAAGGAAAGGGAGAGTTGGGGCTGCTATCTAGTAGCCCCAACAGCTAACTACCAGAAGGATCTGACATCCAACTACCAGTTGGATCTGAATAACACGTGTTGCAATAATTGATGTCAATTATCAATGTTTCGTGCAGTTGCTCGTTTTGGGGTGCTGCTCTACCTTTTAGATGAATTTCACATCGGTCTGGATTGACCTAGTATCCTCAGACACTCTTTGTTTCTATTGAGAGGATCAGGTTCATGTTCTGGTCCCCAGTGGGCATCCTGAGTCACAAGGGACAAATGGGTTTGGAGCAAACCAGGCAAGTAGCTCCGGAAGTCATGGAAGCGAGCTCTTAAAGAGACAAAAACAAAATGACCTCAAATGAACCAATTATTCCAGAGAAAACCAACACAACTTGGCTTTAAAAAAGAAGTAAAGAGATCTGTGCCGAGGCATACAGCCTAAGCGGCACCAGGGCACTTGAAATGCAGATGTGCTACTGTGAAGTAAGGATGCATTATAATACATTCCTTTCAACACCATGTACAGCAATGAAGCAAGATCGTGGAATTTACCACATATTTTAATTCTAAAATTTAAGCAGTTGAAATGATTAAAAGAAATTAATGTGGCATAAATAGGGGGAGAAAAATAAGTTACATTAGTGAATGAAGTATGTGGACTAGCATACTGGGCCAGATATATGTGATAGCAGAGCAAGTCAAGAGGTTCTCGGCCATATGGAGACCATGACTAACGATACACTTATAAAACTGTGTATCTTATACAAGTGTAAAGTATAAGGATGAGGATTTCAAAGACTAAGATAAATAGTACATTATTCAGCGCTATTGAATCTAGCAAAATAATTTACGAAAATGACATTGTACTATAAACCTTTAGAACTACACAGTACTCTTTTACAGCAATTAAGTAATACCTGGTTATAGAGGTATCAGCATCTTCTATATGTGACTCCTTTGCCTGGTCCTCGGCTTGTTGCTCCTCCTCAGCCAGTTTTAAGTCGCACAGAAACTCTTCTGGGCCGCGTAGTCCTGCTGCCTTCACTAACTCTAGCTGGCTCACTTCATCCCCCTAAACACATGAGGATCAATATAGTCAAGTGCTTTGGCTTTTTCCATGCTAATTGCACCAATACAAATAATAATAAAAGCATTAAATGCCCTAACAATCATGGATATTGTAGATGAATTTGCAGTACATGGACACAGAAATGCAATTGACAAAATCAGGATAAGGTAAAATAATGGTCAACAGAAATGTCCTCCTTTTAGGGCTAATTCTGGAAGAAGACTTGACAAGATATCTGCCTACTCCTTGACAATTTTCAGGAGTAGGCAGATAAATGGCTGCTGGAATTCAATATAAATAAATGTAAAGTAATGAAAATGGGAAAGGGAGACAGGAAACTAGACCATAAGGGGAAGGCAATTTTAAGAAACAATAAGAGAAAAAGACCTGAGACTAGACATAATCCCAACACTAATACCAGAAGCTCATGTGAACAAACATTAGTAAACAATGTAATTTAAGAACCAAAACAAAGAAGCCTTCAAGTCCATACACTTCCTACATGAGACCATTACTTGAGTATGGAGCTCCAACATGGAACCCACAAGTATGTTGACCAGACCACACACTAGAAATTGAAGGGACGACGACGTTTCGGTCCGTCCTGGACCATTCTCAAGTCGAATCGACTTGAGAATGGTCCAGGACAGACCGAAACGTCGTCGTCCCTTCAATTTCTAGTGTGTGGTCTGGTCAACATACTTCAGCCACGTTATTGTGACTCATCGCCTGCATATGGAACCCACAACTTGTGAAACAAACAAACTTAAGAAAGTTCAGAGGTTAGTAACTAGATTAGTACCAGAATTGAGAGGCCTCAACTATGAGAGAACTCTCCCTCGCCACCTTAGAAGAGAGAGAAGAAATGAGGGTGGGGGAGGAGGGGGGGATGTATGATAAATACCGGTGCGTACAAGATCTCCAAGGAAATAGATAAAGTGGATAAAGGAAGCCTATTTAAATTAAGAAAGGGGTAGGACAGGGAGGATATCGTTGGAATCTCAAGACATACAGTCGAGTTGAAGAGATGTAAGGATGTTTTTATTCCCTGTACAGATGGATGGCAAGTGGAATGCAATGAAGGAAGCAGGCATTGAAGTCAATGCCATCAACAAGTTTAAAAAGAAATATGATGAAAAGGTTAACGTTTAGAGGCATAATTAACACCTCAGATATAAACAACTAGGAGACAGGGCATCACTCCTAGCCTTTGATACCTCCCATAGTCACCGATAGGGGGATTGCTAACATTTCGACCCATTGGCACATACCCGACAGTAAGCCCCACTCAAACACCTAAAATATTCGTACTCTTTTTGCACCTTCTCAGTTTTGGGTTATAAATATAAATTTGGTGTCAAAATGTTTGCAGATAAATTTGCTAGAGTAGAGATGCAATACAAAATGTGTTTTAATAATAAACAAAGCATTACTGAGCTGAATAAATGAATGTTTACTAACATTTCAACATATATCAACATTCCACCTTTTATGTTGACCAGACCACACACTAGAAGTTGAAGGGATGACGACGTTTCGGTCCGTCCTGGACCATTCTCATTACTACTATCCCCTACACCTGACTTTCCTCCTCAGCTCTCTCTTGCCTATTTATTGCCTGACCCTACCTCCTCATCACAATCGACTTGAGAATGGTCCAGGACGGACCGAAACGTCGTCGTCCCTTCAACTTCTAGTGTGTGGTCTGGTCAACATACTTCAGCCACGTTATTGTGACTCATCACCTGCATTCCACCTTTTAGTTTTTAAAAAATAGAATTAAAAAGAAATGGTACACACATGATTGTTTCATATCGCTGTAAAAAGAAAAACACAACTATGATACGTTCCAGCAGGTGAGTTGCACAGCACTGTGAAAATAATTGTTTTGAGTACTAGGTAGTTGCAGCCCATCTTCTGGTTTAGATATCACTTGTAGTAATGATGTGGACCATCGTACATATATTGACCTAATGGACAACTAAAAAGTAGAATTGGGTACTACTGAATTTGGACAAGGTGGAAAAGGTTTTTATTTAAAATTTAGGTTGCTAATAAAACCTGACCTAGTCTAAACATCCTAGACCTTATACATGCTATCTGAGGCTTAATACAGTACATATGTGCACTATACTAGTAGTAGGCATCCTGCAGTCTTGGGAGACTATGAAGTTGCGCTCTGGTTGCCGAGGCTGGAGGGTTCTCTCCAGGGCGCAAAGCCAGGGTAGGTCGATATGGAAGAGAAGCTGTTACCCATGCAGCAGGTCCTCCTCTCTCCACGTTGCTGAAATTGTCCAATGGAAAGGCAAACGCCGTTGCAGGAGCTGCCAGAATGAGGTTGGCGTCAACAACGAACTGCGTTAGGGGCTCCATACCTATATTGAAGTTTTTTTTTTTAGCTTTATTTTCTCCAGACTATACGTAGTATCAAATTCTACTAATTGTCTATTGTGTCAATATATGCATGATGGTGCACATAGTTACAAAAAGTAGTCTAAACAGGGGAATGGGTTGCATGACCGAGGTGAGCTACCGAAGGGACAATTTCAGAAAAATGTTGGTCAGTTATCTTTATCAGACTAGAGTACAGGGTACTGAACTTTCAATCAGGCATGCTTACATAGGCTATTCTCATGCACTATATATTTCAGACCTCCCCTTAATCGCCTTCCTCTCTCTCTCTCTCTCTTCACATTACTTCCTCCTCCCTCTATCACCCTTTCCTTCTTCCTCGTCCCATCCCAAATCCTTATTCCTTCCAAGCGCTATATAGGGGTATTGGCTTGGCACTTTTCCTTGATAATTCCCTTCCCCTTCACCCTCTTCCATGTAAATCAGATTATATATATTCCTTCTTAGTCCTACCTATCCACTTAACACCACATATAATCCTTATACTGTCCATCTTGAGTTGACTGAAGAATATTTACACACACATTAGAACATAGAAGAAAACAGACATACAAATATGATGACCAGACCACACACTAGAAGGTGAAGGGACGACGACGTTTCGACTCACAATCGACTTGAGAATGGTCCAGGACGGACCGAAACGTCGTCGTCCCTTCACCTTCTGGTGTGTGGTCTGGCCGTCATACTTTAGCCACGTTACTGTGACTCATCGCCTGCAGACATACAAGTATGTCTGCACAAAATTAAGATACTTACAATCTCTTTATCAACAAGCTCTAAAGACTTCAGATTCAGGTAACCAACATCTCCTGTAGTCTCTACCAATTCTGTTTCTCGACTGAAAATAAAAACTACATTTTTTACATTAAGTTTGATTGTTAATTTCTAAAATTAAAAACAAATTCATAAAATGTTACGACTTAGATATTGAATAGTTTTGGCTTTCCTCTTTACACTCACTAATGGTACCAGTAATTAAATTTTAGTTGGGCTATTAATTACATACAAATATTTGTAATGTTTATGTACTTAAAGATACAGTAATTTGGGGCTATTGGGCCCGTTTGTATATACTACAGTATTTCAAGATTACAAAAATTAACACATTGCACAAATCTAAAACTGATTATGTAAAATACAGTACTATATAATACTGTACTTGTTGGGGATACGCATAGCATATAAGAAAGACAAATCTTTTACAGTGAATGTGTAAAAATCTTAAATAAGGGGAAACGGGGCAAGGAGAGAGACCAAAACCAAGTCAAGAGACAAGGACCCATGTGGAGAAGCATAAGCTGGTCAGAGGTGGAAAAACACGATTCCGCTTGCAGAGCTGCACCGAGGAAGATACCTAGTTGATGGGGTTCTGGGAGTTCTTCTACTCCACAAGCCCGGCCTGAGGCCAGACTCGACTCGTGAGAGTTTGGTCCACCAGGCTGTTGCTTGGAGCGGCCCGCAGGACCACATACCCATCACAGCCCGGTTGGTCCGGCACATTTTTTAGAAAACAATCTAGTTTTCTCTTGAAGATATCCACGGTTGTTCCGGCAATATTTCTTATAATCACTGGGAGGACGTTGAACAACCGCGGACCTCTGATGTTTATACAGTGTTCTCTGAGTGTGCCTGTGGCACCTCTGCTCTTCACTGGTTCTATTCTGCATTTTCTTCCACATTGTTCACTCCAGTATGTTGTTATTTTACTGTGTAGACAGTAAAATAAAGACTTGACTTGAAGACAAGTCAAGTAAAACAAGTAAAGACAAATAAAGACAAAATAAATAAAGACTTGACAACAAATGCAAGCAAGAGCGGCTCCGCCAATGTCACGCAAGAGGCGACAGTATTCGGCATGAGATACTGATCGAGAAACAACCAAGCCAACAAGGACAGGACAGCCCTGACCAAAACCAAAGAAAGACAATGACAAGAGAGATACGGTAGTGGTGAAACAAGTGCCAAGCAATTTCATACTGCCACCATGAGGAAAGATGCTGGTGGAAAACCAACAAAACAGCATCAAATGTGTATAAAAAAAAAGTGTAGGGTAGAGGAGAGAAAGTAAAAAAGCTAAGTACTGTACAAGTACTTCAGCCAATCTACTGAAAGGGGCCAATCCAAGGTAAAAATGCCTGGGCTCGAACACTGGTTTGAAGTGCCAGAAACCAAGGCTGGGCAGGCCACCAGGGAGCCAGAAGGACCACTCGCCCCACATATGACTCCAGAATGGACGCAACCCAAAGCAACACAGAGGATAAAAGGTAAATGCACATCCACTTCGACCATTCCAGTTGAAATGCAACTACCAACGTGTAGTGTCACGATGGGTGAATTGTCACAGTGACTGGCCACAAAAAAATGAAATACTATTTTGTTTTTTCTAGTGAAATGGTAGACCTGCATTCAAAAGTACAGAGCAGAAAATACTCAAAAATCATACATGTCTACCAGTAGTTTGGCCTCAGCTGTGGTCTACATTCACTCCAGCATTTGTCAGCATTAGTGTGATGAGAGCCAGGATAAAAAACCAAAACAAACAAGAAATATTATGAAATATATTTAACAGTAAGGAATTTGCCTGCAAAGGCCAAATTATACCAACTAAATGTATACGGTACAGTGAAGATCATCATCCTAGCTAGATAAATGCAGTCCGAGTCATAAGTTGACGAGAACCAGAAGCAGAAATCTGGCTTGCCTCCATACCACTTTGTGGCCTTCCATATCTACTAGGAGACACCAATCAGCTGGTCGACAATGACACTGGGGGAGCCGGTCAGCCAAGCGGACAGCACGCTGGACTTGTGATCCTGTGGTCCCGGGTTCGATCCCGGGCGCCGGCGAGAAAACAATGGGCAGAGTTTCTTTCACCCTATGTCCCTGTTACCTAGCAGTAAAATAGGTACCTGGATGTTAGTCAGTTGTCACGGGTTGCTTCCTGGGGGGTGGAGGCCTGGTCGAGGACTGGGCCGCGGGGGACACTAAAGCCCCGAAATCATCTCAAGATAACCTCAAGATAGCCATTGAAACCACATTGGCAACACTGATACTCTAAACACCGATGCAAAACGTAGATCTTTATTTGGCAATGACCGCACTGCACTAGACAATCAACACACGATAACAACCACTCTGAGGGGTTAATACTTCAAAGTGCAAATATAAAACCTACAAAATTATATATAAAGTACCGTATGATAAACCAAAATATTAAGCACGTGACCAATTTCCCCACAGCATGCCCAATAGCCCCACTAAGTATCAAGCTAAACCCACTAACAAGATGCACTAAGCATCACTGCCAGCTAAAAGGGCCAAATGCGGGTTCTTCTAAAAGTTGGGTTGACGTGACATTATCAAAATAGTGACAATATTATATAACAACATATTATATATATATTGGCAAAGAACTACTCACACTACTATACGCTTTCTGAAAATGGGGCAGTCAAGAGTAAATGTTTCATATTCACCTCCTTCGCCGCATACATTCAGCCGATATTTTTCTTTCTGTCAAAAAGAAAAAAAAAGATGCAGTAGCTTCTTCTGCAATTCTGGTACCAAACAACAATAAAAATGTTCAATGCTTTAACATAACATTCACAGCATATTTGAATACACAGTAAAGTAGCCTTCTGATTATCTAAATTAATTGGATCTCATTTGATCCAGCCAGAGATTGAGAGATTTTCCAATTGAACCCAATTTTTGTTCAAAAATGGCTTTACTCCTCATTCACACATCAGGCATTTTTGATTGGTTCATTTTGATACTCTCTAATGTATACATAATGATCTGTCTATGCAGGCGATGAGTCACAATAACGTGGCTGAAGTATGTTGACCAGACCACACACTAGAAGTTGAAGGGACGACGACGTTTCGGTCCGTCCTGGACCATTCTCAAGTCGATTCGAGAATGGTCCAGGACTTGACTATCGACTTGAGAATGGTCCAGGACGGACCGAAACGTCGTCGTCCCTTCAACTTCTAGTGTGTGGTCTGGTCAATGATCTGTCTATATTGGACAAAATCTTTACTGGATTAGCAACTTTTCACAAATGTCCCTTCAGTCACATTTGGCACTCGGTTAGGTTGAGAGAATATTCAATATTGAGAGAATAGCCAAAGAAAGCATCTAGCCCAACATGAAGCCCCAAGGGAAGACTGCCAAGAAATTGCTCCAATTACTTATCAAATAATAGCTCATTTGACACCACTGCTGTCTGCTCTCAGATAGCACCTTCCCAACCTCCAGCCCGACATGTTAGAACACTCCCATATTCTTCCTAAACATATCAACCCACCTTAGAACACAAGAGAAGTAAGGCAGGCAGGAGGGAGCGAGAGTGCACAAAATGAACCACTCAGAAAGGCTCTTTTCATAACTTCAAAGCCAGATTTCTGAGCTGGCTCATTCTGCCACTAGTTAATGTATCACCACAAAACAATACTTGAATGTAGGCACTCACCTACGCTGCAGAACAGTGTCAGAAAAGCATGGAAATGCCTAAGAACACACAGGAAGCTTGGCCAAACATAACGCATCCACTATGCCCAATGAGCCATGAAGCAGTGTTGATCAGTGAGACAAGTGATATAAATCCAAATCTAACTTCAAGAGAGACACACATCAGCAGAATAACATTGGTGGCATATGCCAGAATGGTGAATGTATGGAGAGCCTTCAGGTATTTAGAAGCTAAATACAAGCTTATGTGAGACTTGCTCTTAAATATGCTGCCCTGGCAGGGAACCGTAAATACAAGCTTATGTGAGACTTGCTCTTAAATATGCTGCCCTGGCAGGGAACCGTAAATACAAGCTTATGTGAGACTTGCTCTTAAATATGCTGCCCTGGCAGGGAACCGCTACCCCTAAACAAAACAAAGAAAAGGTCCAGAGATATGTAACAACGCTCACTTCTCACCTATGAAGAAAAACTGAGGGAACTGGACCTCACCACAATAGAGGAAAGAAGGAAGAGAGCAGACATAACACACAAGACTCAAAAAAGAGAACTGACCATGGAGACCAAAAACTCATATTTAATGTGAAGAACAAAAGAACAACAGGTTATACATGAAAATTGGAGAGATAACATAAGGAACTTCCAAAATATAAGGATCATACATAAAAAGAAATGGATTAGATAAGAAAGGTGTTGATGCTAATTCAATACACAATTTTATATGAAAAAAACCCATTGTGCATAGTAATAACTAAATTCTATGGTCCATCTTCCCTTTAGCTTTGCATAAATATTTTACTTTACACAATATTTTCCTAAATAACCAGGTTCCACTTTTCCAGACTGGGTGAGAAACAACTGGTCCAAACTACTAGGGTCACACTATATTAATAAAACAGTATTGCTTTCTATAAACCATATAAACCCAATTAATCCTGCATGCTAATATCTCATGAGGCATTCTGCTACCTATTCTAAATAGCCACATTTGAATAAAATTTGATGCCAAACCTACCCTCGACAATCACTCGTCAAGGTTGATCCTGGAGACAGAACCTAGCGACAGCCGGTCGGTATCAATCATTATGCCTGTCTTAAGACACGCCGTCAGGCTGAATTTTGCATAAAGAGGTACAAGGCTTCTTGCCCTTGTACTTCTTGCTGCTAAACCAAGGATTGTTCTACAACCAGTATAATTAGTCAAGAACAGTTTGAAAAGACCCTCACTGTGCTGATACAGGTTAATGGTTTGTTATGACAATGCACAGAATTGTCCTAGGGTCTTAGGGAGCAACTAATTTACTAATGCAATTGCTTTTCATAATACTCAAAACCTGATATTTTGGGGGAATACTGTACTGAACATGCATTATTGTACCGTATGTCCTTGTTGCATTTTTAAGTGCGTGCATTATGTGTATTTAATTTATTCTTTTGATGTACATATAACTAGCATTGAATGTAATGAAACGCATTTTCTGGGTGAGCCCCGGAGGTTCCCTGAAGCTATCTGAACTGATATGTGCTATATTAGTTTGGGGTCAGTAGTCACAGGAGTCCTTATGCCTACCGGGGACCACGAGCCAGACCCTGGCTCCCTCAGAGAGGTGCAGGGAGCAATAGCCTACGAGCACTTTACATTTAAAGTATGTCATAATTGCCATCGACCGGGGAAGGACCCAGAGAGGTAGGTGAATTAAAACAGACCACTGTCTGGTTAACCTGTGCAATCTACATCCAAAAAGATCAAAATAACTCCCCAAGTAAAAAACCCAACAAACAACACTTCAATCCCTCCAGTTCTTGAACGATGAAAACCGCCGACCGGATGGAGCGAGGGTGTCAGGAAGCCTCTGGGGCTCACCCAGATAATGGCATTTCATTACATTCAACACTGGTTTTCTCTGGGAAGCCCTGTCAGCTCCCTGAAGATAACTACCTAAAGATAAGTAAGAGGAGGGACTTACCTGGGAGGCAGCAGCACCGCAGGTCGCAAGACGAGGATGAGACCGACATATGTGACAGGTGCCCCAAATTCACACACGACCAAGTAGGAACCGGAAAGGTCACAAGATACCTGCCGGCCAGAACCCTGTTCGACCTCCACCCCCCCACCCCCCGCCCGAATGTCGACCCAAGACACGTTGCCGAAAACTTCAACGAGAGCAGCAGACTTCCTAACATCAAGGGCACAATGGTAGACTGCAGGCTGGCTAGACTTGATGACACTGCAGACAACCCGAGATATACGAGCCCTGGAACAGGAAACCATGGAAATCGGATCCATCCAGAGACCATCCAAGGTCACAGAACCAGTGGCCCACAGGTAGCGGCATAAAGCTGCCACTAGGCGCAACACGTGACACACCCCCGGCCTAACCAACCAAGCATCCACAACTAACGGACCCCTGTGGAAGCCAGCCACCTCATTATTCACTAGAAAAGAAGAAAGCTGCAAATGAATAAAACAACCATCTGGACCATATGAATAGAACCCCCAGCGTTGGAGGAGAGCATGAAGCTCCCCAACCTGACCCCCAGAGGCTAAGGCCAACAAAAACAAGGCCTCCCAAAAGCAATCAGAGAATGGTACCACATACAATGGGAGACACCGAGATCATGCTGATGTGAAGAGGTCCACTTCCAGATGCCCATACGCAAACAAATTCAAAGGATGGAGGCGTCGTCGACCATCCACTCTGTGGAAGGAGGAATGAAGTGCTGTCTGCTGGGACGATGGACACACCTTGAATGTGAATAGCGCAAAGAGCTAAGCCCCGAGAACTCAGCAGATGAGCTACCCGAAGCGACCAGCCCCAAGGTCATGGACCGGAGATCGAACCACATGGGTGCAGTCTGAATGGATCCAGATCACTTAGCCCCAAAGAAGCTGCAACTATCGCAGTGCCTGCTACACAGCCGCAACCTCTTGCATTGTACTGTGAGTTCGAAGGAAGGATGGCCTATCACCAGACCCAACGCCCCTGGCCGGTCTGGCGAGCGCTAGTCACAAAGCTCCAAACAAGAAACGAAGCATCCGTGAACAAATTGAGCGAGGGAAGAGGAAGGTGTCATGGCACCAAACCCCCAAAATGCCCAAAGAGGAAGCCAAAGATACAGCAACAGACGCAAGGACACCAGGGAACGAACCCAGCGATCGTGAAAGTGGCTGCTCTGAAGATGCTGTACCAGAACAGCCTCCGAAGCCAAACCCAGCCCAGCGGATAAACCAGCGGGGGCAAAGTTCAGGCTCCAGCACAGCAGCTCGAGTAACTCGAGCCTACCTTTCACCTACCTTTCTGGGTCCTTCCCCAGTCAATGGCAATTATGACATAATTTAAATGTAAAGTGCGCATAGACCATTGCTCCCTGCACCTCTCTGAGGGGATCAGGTTCTGGCTTGTAGTCCCTAGTAGGCATAAGGACTCTGACTGATGACCCCAGACTAATATAGCACACATCAGTTCCGATAGTTTCAGTGAGCCGACAGGGTTCCCCACAGAAATGGCAACAAAGGTGTGACTGATTAAATGTAAAAACAAAGCTTTTGGTCTGATTTACAGTGAACAAACAGTGTTACATTGTACTGTATTGCTAATGTGTACATCATAACTATAAGGTCAGGTAAAGCCTCACCTAAATCCTTCTTACCATTTTTTCAAGGTATGAAACCATTTGACTGATAGATTTTCCAAGGTGTTTTCTGGGTTCCAGGCCAATGGCTGCTACTTTAATAATGATGGCATCCAAGCCACACTCGACCATCTCTTGCAGAAGTTCAGACTGGTCACGTTGCCACATAAATGCTAGGCAAACTAAGCCTAGTCTACTGCACCTGCAAAAACCCAGTCAAATTTTACCCTGTACTGCATTTTTAAACCTGCCAATATATTTTAGTCCTTAAATTTGTTTATGCTATATCAACAAAGCAGAATTATTAATATTTAAAAATATTATCCACCATATATAATTCACATTCAGTGAATACAAACAATGACTATATAACAATTTATAACTCTATAAGATATTAAACAATTCGCCAAAAAACTCACACATTTTCTACTCGAACTCGTTGATAATCAGAAAGAACAGCACCGACACTCACAGCATCCACACAGCATTTTGCCTGTAAAGAATAAAATGTTTCAGGTTATGATGCCAAATGCTCGATACAATCTTCCTTTGTTTAAGAAAACTAGGAACTTTGATCAATTTACTACATAGGTTTTTCAAAAGTAACTGTTGTTTTCATTCTGAATGAACATCATATTATATAAAGAGGGAAAACAAACATCACATCAGCATCTTCTTGAGGTTATCTCGAGATGATTTCGGGGCTTAGCGTCCCTGCGGCCCGGTCCTCGACCAGGCCTCCTTTTTGTTACACATCCCCAGGAAGCAGCCCGTAGTAGCTTCCTAACTCCCAGGTACTTATTTACTGCTAGGTAACAAGGGCATCAGGGTGAAAGAAACATTTTGCCCATTTGTCTCACCTCCACCGGGGATCGAACCCAGAACCTCAGGACTACGAATCCGAAGCGCTGTCCACTCAGCTGTCAGGCACCTCTGACAGCTGGAATGGATGGAATGTAATGAAATGCCATTTGTTTGGTGGGTCATCCAGTTGCTCCCAGTAGCTCACCACCTAGATAGCTCAACACACACTCACAACTCACACCAGGCTCTTACAAGTCATTTAAAACCCTACTGGAGACCAGAGGACAAACCCTGGTCTACTCAAAGAGGTTCAAAGAGCAGGGAATGCTAGTTCACCCCGAGAGAATAATCCACAAGGAAGAGTGAGATAACATTCAACAGCAAAGTATATACAAAAAAATTCTGAAAACTCGGAACAAGGAACAAAGGACACTGGGTAAACAAATAATAAATTTGTATTCAACCTGGCACAATAAATGATGCATCCCTCTTGGAGTACTCTGAGAGAGAATCAACATCAGAGGCTACAGTTCAGAGACTGTTCAACACGCTTCCACTACACATAAGGGGCATAACTGGCAGACCCCTCACAGTGTTCAATGCTCAATAGAGAACTTGATAAACCTCCAAAGGATCCCTGATCAACCAGGCTGAGAGTCATATGTCAGACTGCGAGCAGCTGCATCCAACAGCCTGGTTGACCAGTCAAGCAACCAGGAGGCTTGGTTGAGGACTGGGCTGCGGGGACGTTGAAATCATCGCAAGGTAACCACAAGGCAAGGTAAGGAGGTAACCCCTGGCTGAAGAAATCAAAAGGTGAACAACCAACCCTGCCAGTAGTCAGCCATCTCCTTTTTAGTCAGAAAGGAAGAAGGCTGCAGACATAAAAACTGCCCATCAAGCCAAAGGAACAGATCCCCAGTGTCTGAAGGAGAGAAAGACACTCCCCAACCCTTCTTGAAGTTATCTTGAGATGATTTCGGGGCTTTAGTATCCCCGCGGCCCGGTCCTCGACCAGGCCTCCACCCCCAGGAAGCAGCCCGTGACAGCTGACTAACACCCAGGTACCTATTTTACTGCTAGGTAACAGGGGCATAGGGTGAAAGAAACTCTGCCCATTGTTTCTTGCCGGCGCCCGGGATCGAACCCGGGACCACAGGATCACAAGTCCAGTGTACTGTCCGCTCGGCTGACTTGCTCCTTATACACGAGTGAGAGCCAACTAAAACAAGGCCTTATAAAATGGATCCTGGACTAAAAGAACATCCAAAAACTAAGTAGATGAAAGAAAAACCACAACTCTAACCAAAGACTAACAAGTCAAATGAAAAGACACAGGAGACAACCGGCAAAACAATGCCGACAAAGTACAGGTACTACCTACCTACCTAATGTTGGTTTTCAGTATCAATGTTGATATTTTTCCTCAAGAACTTCTAATTTATCTCCTTCCACTCCTGCCACTAGGTAGCACAATCATTCCATTCCATTTATTCCATCAATTTCAATACATAATACAACTGCACACCTCTAATCTTTTAAGGCAATCATCTTCCAATACAGTACTATACAACTTTTTGCTCTCCTTAAAGCTTTAAGTGTCCTACCAGAATTCTTATTAAAACACACCTTTGCCCTTTGAATAAATTAATTTGAAATCGCCTACCTTTACTTCCTTTAGAAGATAAAAGAGATCCTCAACTTCATCCCCTTCTGTGGGTTTATAGCTGATAGTGGCAGTGTTGAGAGAGGTGCCCTGGATCACTCGCCGAAACAGTGGGATTCCCACCGCTTCCGCATAAACTGCCACTCCCATGTGTCCCACACTCTGATACATATAACTGTCCAATTCATCTGAAAAAAAAGAGAGATCACCTCTTATGTAATACAACCATAGGGTCTTCCTCAATTAGGAGAGGAAAATCTATATCAATACTATAGTGGTTTTGGATGGTCTCAGTTACAAAAAAAATTTAAATTATCTGTACACATTTCTTGTCAACATCTTATTAAATGATCTTTGTACTGTACTGTATTTATGACATTCGTCTTTACTGCACTTCGCTCTTCACATTTTGCTAAGGAGCCCAAAAGATCTACACTGTTTAACCCTTTTGTGCGCAATTGTAAGTTGGTCCCATACTTAGGATGGTACTAAAAAGCCAAAAATATTTTAGCAATATTAGTTACAGTATCTACAAAATGAAATTTAACTCCTCTTTCCAGTAGTACCAATAAAACAAAAATTGTAAAAGTAAAATAAAATTAACAAAATATTGAATGTATGGCAATGAAATGTCTTTTCTGTTAGGGGGCAGGCTAGTAGCTCTCCTAGCTTATTCAATGCACCGCTGAGAAAGCGCTCATAAGGGCACTTGGGTGTGACCACTCGTAAGGACGAGTGGTCACACGACTGAAGCACAAAAACTTGGTACAGTAAAGCAAAGAAGACAGCCTCGCCCTACTTGTTGAAGAGGGCTGAGGGCCAAAGAATAACAAATGAACAACCACCACCACACGTGTGCCAATTCAGAGGAACATTCTAAAACAACAGATTGTCGATTCCCTAGAGCCAGCAAAAGACCAAGGGCCAGATTCACGAAGCAGTTACAAAAATACTTACGAACGTGTACATCTTTCCTCAATCTTTGACGGCATTGGTTATATTTATTAAACAGTTTACAAGCATGAAAACTTCCCAATCAACTGTTGTTACTGTTATAAACAGCCTCCTGGTGTTTCGGAGCTCAATAACTGTTTAATAATTGTAAACAAAGCCGACAAAGATTGAGAAAAGATGGACAGGTTCGCAAGTGCTTGTGTAACTGCGTCGTGAATCTGGCCCCTGGGCCTGAATAATAGCAGTGGACGTATTAGCATATAAACTGAGAAGGCAGCAGATTTATGCAGATGATGAGTGCAATGATGCACAGCCTGCTGGCTGAACTGAACCACCATAATCTTGCCCTAGAAAAGGCAGGTCTTAGAATTCAGAATGAGAGAAACAGGGTTAATAAGTGGAAGAAAATAATTTCACAGACTACATTGAGAACTGGTATGAAAACTAAAACTTAAACATACAAAAATGTGATGACTATCATGTAAATATAATTTATGAGACTATCAACATTAGTGAGTCAAACTAAATGAACAGAAATACCTGTTAGCAAGGTCACTACAGACTATATGTATATATATATATCCCAACTGGTAATGTGATTATTTGTAGACCTTGGTATAAGGCATATAATTCACCTGTGAAAATAGATAGTTGGTTTGGTAACCACCATCCCTGCTTGAGGTGATGTTGTGGGATCTGTACAGTGCTAGTGACCGAGGGTCCGTTGTTCATGAGGATGTGAGATACATGTGTAAATCGCTGTGGTATTTGGGTAGCAATTTTTCACTGTTGAGACAAAGACTGATGCTATGGCTAAGTCACAATAACGTGGCTGAAGTATGTTGACCAGACCACACACTAGAAAGTGAAGGGACGACGATGTTTCAACTTGATTCCACAATCAACTTGAGAATGGTCCAGGACGGACTGAAACGTCATCGTCCCTTCACTTTCTAGTGTGTGGTGTGGTCAACTATGGCTGAGTTTGGCGCAGACTTTGGAATGTTGTCTTCCAGTTGTATTGATGTTTTAAGTCGTAAAAAGCCAAGGTGGATTAGGTGGGGAGAAGGGTTGGGGTTGGCAGTAAGTTGGGTTTCAGTCTTGGAGTAAAGCGAGGTCTATATTGAGGTTATTTGTAACCCGTGTGAGGAAAGGTTGTGATTGGTGGGGAAGTGGAGGTTATGTGGGCTAACTGTTGGGTAAATTTTGTATCTGTATGGGTGTTGGGTGAGCAGTGGTACAGTGACAGATAGTTGGCACACATTATGTCTCATCTGGTGACTAAGCTTGTGAGGCCCATTTCCTCCATGAAGGCCGAGGACTGGAGTGGAATGCATTGCGCCACATATAAGTTGCATGGCATTGTCTTGTATGACCTCAAGGCTCTGTAGGTTTGTAGGTGCAGCCGACGCATATGCCTGACAGCAAGAGTCTTGAGGTTATCTTGAGGTTATCTTCAGATGATTTTGGGGCTTAGCATCCCCGTGGCCCGGTCTTTGAACAGGCCTCCTTTTTGTTGCAAATCCCCAGGAAGCAGCCCATAGCAGCTAACTCCCAGGTACCTATTTACTGCTAGGTAACAGGGGCATCAGGATGAAAGAAACTCTGCCCATTTGTCTCCGCCTCCACCAGGGATCGAACCCAGAACCTCGGGACTACGAATCCGAAGCGCTGTTCACTCAGCTGTCGGGCCTCCCTCACAGGCAGATCACCGTCTAATTGGCTGTAAATGTAGGTTGTATAGAAACGGTGCAAAATTTTTGTAATGTGCTCCCCAGGTGGTGCCAGTGAGGGCTTTAAGTATGGCGAGTCATGGTTATGTCGTTTGTATAAGATGTTGAATGTGTGCTTTCCAGGTAAGTAATTAGGGCGAGTTGAAGTGCATGCCAAGGTATTTATGTTCTCGTACGTGTTGGATGGGAGTGATGTGTATTGTGAGGGTAGGAAAGAACTAGTCTTTTTTTTTAGTGAAGATCTGAAAACAGGTTTTGGCAGTACTAACTTGGAGGCCCCATTGTTGTGTCCAAGCAATGAGGTGGTCAAGTGCTGTTTGCATTGTTGAGACTGTATTAGGTAGGGCATTGTCTGAAAAATACAATGTTAAATCGTCAGTGTATGCCAAGAGGTGAACGAGGTGGGTGTTATATAAATCTGCTAAGAATGCAACAAAAAGGGTTGGGCTTAGAATGGAGCCTTGTGGGGACACCTGTTCGAATTGGAATGCTATCTGAAAAACCGCCTTGTATATAGACTTTGGAGGTCCTGTTCGTAAGACAATAGATCTGTGCCGATAGATGTAATCTTCCCTGTACACCTAAACGTGCAAGTTTTCCCAAGAGGCAAGTATGAGGAATGCTATCAAAAGCTCCTTTAGGATCCAGGTAGAGAACAATACAAAATTTATTGCTTACTTAATACATGAAAGCAAGGAGATAGGTCTGTACAATGCAGGTTGGAATGGGTCTTTTCTTGTTTGAGGAAAGAAAGAATATTCTTTCGTGAGGGGATATTACCCTCATAACATTGGCACGCTCCTGAGGTGTTTAACAGGGCGAGCCATTGATTATCAGGGAAAATAAAGGGAATGATGTTCAACCTTTAATGCTGTTAAATGTAACCCAGACTTTGGTGTGTGGGTGTGAGGTTATCATAGCATTTTGCCCATGATTTTTGCTTTGATGACAGTATGTTTTTTTGGGTTGCTGCCGTGGCCCACTGGAGATTGACCCAGTTTTGTAGGGAGGGTTGACGTCTTTGTTTTCATATGGCTCGTCAGCGTAAAGTGACTGTTTGAGCACATTCCGCGTTCTACCACGGTTTAAGCGGTTTGTTAGACCTATGTCCAGAGGTTTTCTTGAACATTTGAATGGCTGCAGTATTAATGGCTGAGGTGATTGTAGACAGTCGCGTGTTAGGGTCTACATCATCTGTACCTGGGAGAAGGACCATATCAGCCTATTTATGTTTACCCTGAAAACACAAACCGAAACTGTCTCTATTTTCCGCTTGTTACAACTTGTAATAAAGTTGTTACATCTTGGCTTAACGTGTTTATGCCGTATTAGAAGGTTGTTACAACTTGCTATATTGTTATAACTGGTTAGGTGGTGTTAAAACTTGTTTGAACGTTGTACCAACGTCGTAGTTTCGGTGTGTGTTTGGCGGGTACCTAGTTTCTTAATGTTCCACTTATCAGGTGTTAGGGGATGGGTTGGTGGCTCAAAGTTGGGAAATTTTAAATGAGGGGTTTGTGGTCACTACCAATATCTGATCCAGTATGAAACTGTAGTTCATGTTGAAAGTGTGCTGAGCCAAAGCTTTCAAGCAAAGCAAAGATGTCAAGTGAGTCTTCACATAATTGGTTCTGTAGTTAAAGTAAGTTGCGAAGTAGAGTGGCAAAGGAAGAATATAGGGTGGAGTGTCAAAGTAGTTATATAGATCGGTGCTTGCAGTGTTCTGGGTACCTCTACTCCATGTGGGGTGGCTAGCATTGAGATCGCCTACAACAATGATTCGGTGTCGTAACTGATCAAGATAGAAATCCAGTTCATTTAAGCTTATTGTACCACCAGGCATGTATTGTATATACCCAGAAAAAGGAGATGTGTGTACCATTGAAGGGTATTAAGCATGCTAACGTTTCTTGTTTACCATTCACAAAATGAATAAGCATTACAGGTTTATTGATGTTAACCAGACCACACACTAAAAGGTAAAGGGACGACGACGTTTCGGTCCGTCCTGGACCATTCTCAAGTCGATTGTTACAGGTTTACAAATCATATTACTTCATGTTAAGAGGAAAACACCTCCCCCCATATGATTAGGTCTGTCCAGTGTCTGTATTTGAAAGTTTTGAAGATACAGTAGAATTATGTTTGGGAGTGAGCCAGGATTCGGTTACAAAGGCTCTAGGTCCGGTTTTGATGAGTAAAAGAATTATTTTAGTTCTGTGAGGGATGTTTTAATGTTTTTTATATTCCAAGCCATGAAGGTTTGAGAAGCCATTTAAAATGTTTGGGTTATGGATGCGTCTAGTTTTCTTGGCATGTTATTAGTACGTGTTGGATACCTGGATGTTGATGGGGACTGTGTAGTGGGAGATTGTGGTTTATCTAGTCTGTCAGCCTGAGTGCTAGAGCATTGGGGGAGTTCGATCCACAAAGTTTTTTCTTTTTTTTCTTTAGTGAGCGTGGTTGTGTTGTGGTCAACAGGAGGGGGTGGTTTAAGTGTTTTCTAGATATTTAGTTAAGAAGTTGTCTATCATCTGTTCCATAGCCCTGTGTATACTTCCTATGGTTTTGTGTGTTTGGGGGTCACTGTCTGTAGCCAAGGATGTGGAGACAGCCCCGGGAATAGGGGATTGAATTCTAGCCGTGCCACGAGTTTATTGAAGAACCGATCCAGAGTCTTTTCTATTGCATTTTCAATGCCAGCAAGAAGTGTTTGAAAGAGGTCTGTATTGAGTTGTGAGTTTGGTGGGGGTGTAGTGTTGCCTGGAGTTTTGAATAAGTGGTGATGGGGACATTTGGCACATGTGAAGTGTGGTGTTAGGTGGTGTGTGGTGGTAGTTGGGTTAACGACCCAACTTTATGTTATGTTGTTTATGTACGCTACTGTCTTGCTTGTTTGTGCTGGGTAGAGTCTTGGCTGCTATGTATGAAGGGCATTGTCTTGATCTAATGTCATGGGCATCACAACAACTTGAGCATTTAAGTATGTACTATTTCTGATTCACATGATTTTTTGTGGGATGGGCACCTTCTTGAGGTTATCTTGAGATGACTTCGGGGCTTTAGCGTCCCCGTGGCCCGGTCCTCGACCAGGCCTCCTTTTTCTTACACATCCCCCAGGAAGCAGCCTGTAGCAGCTGTCTAACTCCCAGGTAACAGGGACATCAGGAGTGAAAGAAACATTTTGCCCATTTGTCTCCGCCTCCACTGGGGATCGAACCCGGAACCTCAGGACTACGAATCCGAAACGCTGTCCACCCGGCTGTCAGGCACCAGAGCAGAGTCCACATCTAATATCCTTAGTGCATCCTTGCTAAGTATGATTGAATTCCTTACATTTAAAGCATTGAGGTGGTCGTGGTAGGCATACCTCTAGTTTGTGGTGAAAGCCGTTTATCCAGACCCAATCAGGTGGAGGATCGGCTAGGAGTGTATGCAAGGCTGTGCCTGTATCACACAGCTCTCTGTCAATCGTACCCATGAACTTTTTAACTCCGTAGACTTGAATTTCATCTCCCTGTAGTTGTTCTTTGATGTCTTCCTCGCTAATGTCAAGGACATGTTTGATGATGCATTTCTTTAATCTATCACCTAATGGTTCATAACAATGTACTTTATATCCCCGGACTTCAGTAATAATAGGCAGCTCTAGTTCCTTGTGAAGATTGTAGTCTATAGTGATTAAGTTTGTTCGCTTGTTTGGCCTGATATTAAGCATCTTAATCTTGAAATTTTTTAGAATATCATTGTAAATTATACTCTATGTTCTGGTGTTCTCAAAAACACTGCTATCCAGAGTAGAGTGGTCACCGAATGAAATGATCAGTGTTTCCAAGCCAAGAGAATTTGGCCTACCTTGGTGTAGTGGGTGTTTGTCATCAGACCATGTGGGGCTGGGATGGCCATTGTTTACTTCATGATAGTGGCGGCGGCCTGCCTCTCGCCTGTTCGCCTTACTGTGATGTCTGTTGTCAAGGAACCTTTTGATCCTCCTCAAACATGGGGAACTATCTTTATCCAAGTGTGTACCAGGTGCCAGCTGGTAAGTTCTCCAAGTTCCTCAACATTGTCAAAGTTTTCAAGCGACGAGAAACTGGGCATCTCCCCACCCGTCACCACGTTACCCCTTCCAGACGCGTCCTCCAAGAGTGTGCTTCAAGCAATTATGTATTCTTCCACAATGTGCAAAGAGTTTGTTTACCCATGCCTCCAACTTCTCCGTGAACATCGATTGAAGGGGTATGACAGCTCTATCCAATGGGTCCCAGCGCATTGTGGTATACTCCATAATGAACTTGTAGACCAGCTGGCCAAGGAAATGCACAACAAGCCTTACATTACTCGTCATCCAACTCCTCCTGTTGTGCGTAAAGCAGCCTCCAAAAAAACCATCACCCAAGATTTTGTAATGAAATGAAAAATGTCTTGCTCATCTTTATACTATGGGTCCATAAAAAAGAACTTCCACCCCCAGGAAGCAGCCCGTGACAGCTGACTAACACCCAGGTACCTACTGCTAGGTAACAGGGGCACGTGAAGAACGTGAAGCACGATGCTCTGGCCGAGTGTAACTCACCTACACAACTGGGTGCCAAGTTGGCCAAGGCTACCACTTGGTGTCCAGCAGCAACACACTGCAGGAGGTTGTAGCAGCTGTCCTTACCACCAGACACCAGCCCTACAACACGCATTATGCATACACAACTACCCTGAAAAAAAAACAATTAATTTTAGGAAATCTTAATACAATAATTGTATGTAAAGTGAATGTAATGCAAAAATCATGCTTCATGTTCAACTAACAAAAAAGGGTATCAAGAACAGTTTTTTGGGGGGAAGATATATACAAGAGTTGTTACATTCTTGTATAGCCACTAGTACGCGTAGCATTTCGGGCAAGTCCCTGGAATGCGACCTCCACGAAGAATCGTTTTTACAACTAAGTACTCATTTTACAGTCGAGTTAAACAGAGGCTACAGTTAAGGATTTGCCCCCAGTAAATCCTCCCCGGCCAGGATACGAACCCATGACACAGCGCTCGTGGAACGCCAGGCTTACCTAGTAGCTCCCTAGTGGAGCCATGCACTAGGGAGAGCCAGGGGGGGGGACAGTGATGGAGCCATGCACTAGGGAGAGCCAGGGGGGGGTCAGTGATGGAGCCATGCACCAGGGAGAGCCAGGGGGGGGACAGTGATGGAGCCATGCACCAGGGAGAGCCAGGGGGGGGGGACAGTGATGGAGCCATGCACCAGGGAGAGCCAGGGGGGGGACAGTGATGGAGCCATGCACTAGGGAGAGCCAGGGGGGGGACAGTGATGGAGCCATGCACCAGGGAGAGCCAGGGGGGGGGACAGTGATGGAGCCATGCACCAGGGAGAGCCAGGGGGGGGACAGTGATGGAGCCATGCACCAGGGAGAGCCAGGGGGGGGGGGACAGTGATGGAGCCATGCACCAGGGAGAGCCAGGGGGGGGGACAGTGATGGAGCCATGCACTAGGGAGAGCCAGGGGGGGGGACAGTGATGGAGCCATGCACCAGGGAGAGCCAGGGGGGGGGGACAGTGATGGAGCCATGCACCAGGGAGAGCCAGGGGGGGGGGGACAGTGATGGAGCCATGCACCAGGGAGAGCCAGGGGGGGGGGACAGTGATGGAGCCATGCACCAGGGAGAGCCAGGGGGGGGGGACAGTGATGGAGCCATGCACCAGGGAGAGCCAGGGGGGGGGGACAGTGATGGAGCCATGCACCAGGGAGAGCCAGGGGGGGGGACAGTGATGGAGCCATGCACCAGGGAGAGCCAGGGGGGGCAGTGATGGAGCCATGCACCAGGGAGAGCCAGGGGGGGGGACAGTGATGGAGCCATGCACCAGGGAGAGCCAGGGGGGGCAGTGATGGAGCCATGCACCAGGGAGAGCCAGGGGGGGGGACAGTGATGGAGCCATGCACCTAGGGAGAGCCAGGGGGGGGGGGACAGTGAGGGAGCCATGCACCAGGGAGAGCCAGGGGGGGGACAGTGATGGAGCCATGCACTAGGGAGAGCCAGGGGGGGGGGACAGTGATGGAGCCATGCACTAGGGAGAGCCAGGGGGGGGGGGGGCAGTGATGGAGCCATGCACCAGGGAGAGCCAGGGGGGGGACAGTGATGGAGCCATGCACCAGGGAGAGCCAGGGGGGGGGGGACAGTGATGGAGCCATGCACCAGGGAGAGCCAGGGGGGGGGGACAGTGATGGAGCCATGCACCAGGGAGAGCCGGGGGGGGGGGGGGGGGGGGGACAGTGATGGAGCCATGCACCAGGGACAGCCAGGGGGGGGACAGTGAGGGAGCCATGCACCAGGGGGACAGCATGGCACTCTGTGAGAGCCAGAGATAGACAGAGAGAAAGAAGGGACAGCATGGCACTCTGTGAGAGCCAGAGATAGACAGAGAGAAAGAAAGAGTCCCAAAAGTTGACGGGTAGCTGTCTTAAAACTCTAATTTTCCTCCTTCTACGCCTACCGCTTCCCTCCCCGCCGCTCTCCCTCACTCTCCCTCCTCACTTACCTCTATAGCTTCATAATACGGCCTTATAATCCCCCAAATTTGAGCTCAGATCCGGTATATCCTCATGGTTAGGTACAGAGCCAAAACAAGAGTGGTGAGAGGACAGGACGGCGGCCCTCGCCCATTGGTCCGCCCTCCAACTCCCAGCCAATCACACAGTAGGTCCCTTACTCTGTTTAGCGCGCGCCATATTCGAATGCTTTCTTAATAATAATATACATAATAATAAAACTTATTAAAGAACTTATTAAAAAATTATTGTTTCCTCCGAGGCTATGGGTCTCCCTTCCTTCAGCCAGAGGTGGTACTCCCTAACAATAAAATAAATAATTTTTTTTCAGGTAAGGTACATACATACAAGGTAAGATAAAAAAGTTGATGGATTTATAGATAGAGCTAGTACATACAATGCCTAAAGCCACTATTATACATTTACTTTTTAATTTATTTATATATAAGAAGGTACATTGGGTTGTGAGAGTACTTAATATCGGTGTTTTTCCATTCTTTCAAAGCTACTAACATGCATAGCGTTTCGGGCAGATGATGATATTGATGAATGATGGTGTCAGAAAATCATTAGGAGCCAATGATGATGATGATTTATGAGTGATAGTGATTTGAAAATCAGTTGTAACCATGAGGAGAATATGAACCTGCACACAGGGTACTTCCAAGTACACTCCTTAAACAACTGGGTCACAATATGCTGAAGAGTAATGTAACCTTGGATTCAACTGAATCCAAGGTTACTGAATGTGTGTGTGTGAAAATTAGGATTAAGGACTTACCCGAAACGCTAGTGGCTGTACAAGAAAGTAATATATCAAATATAAAGTAAAAAACTGAATCCTCTCTATATAGGGGTCCTGAGGGATCCTGCAGATACCAAATCAGAGTTTCATAGATTACCTGCTACCACACCAATTGTCAAAAATTGCAGAGCAAACCGATAGCAAATGCCTTTATTCATTTCTACTGCATAACTTGCCATATCCAAGTTAATGAGCTCAACACTGTATGCCATTGAGAATACAGTACAGATGAGTAAAATTAAAGGAATAAAGAAATATATTTGATGACAAAATGAATGAACTAAAATGAATTAATAGTCAAAAGGAACTGACGAAACAGCTTAAGGACTTTCAACAATCAATGAAAGCAATCGTCTAGGTATAATACCTATGGTTAACCAGGAGAACCCGTAGGGTTTGTCAGACATTCTGGGGGAAATATTGGGAATGCAGACAGAGTTAAGTTAAGGACTTTAGAAACTCTGGAGGGAGATTCAGAAGCTTTGGAGAAAGAAACCTAGAAACATCTAAAAACATCATTATAAAAACTTGCTTGCTGTAGAGGGTAAGACTGATCAGCAAAGCATTAATAAAATGACAGCCAAATTGATAGGCAATGGGCAGGATCTAAGCATTTCCTCGGTAAGGTGGTTAGGTAAGCCAGAGGTAAATTTTATATGCATAACCATCGCAAATCTTGAGCACAGAAGGAAAATACTCAGAAGAGTGCAAAAACTAAGAGATGGTAGAGTATAACTATGTTTACATATCCCCAGACCTCACATTCCACCACATCACATTAGGCAGTGATGTGATGAAGGCATAGGCAGTGATTTGGTGGAGGCAGACTCCATACACAGTTTCAAATGTAGATATGTTAAGAGCCCAATAGGCTCAGGAATGTGTACACCAGTTGACAAAGAGTCGAGAGGCAGGACCAAAGAGCATAAGCTCAACCCCTGCATGCACAACTAGGCGAGTACAGTAGAACAGCAAAAAAATAATAAAGAACCAAGATAATACAGGAGGGAAGAAATAGAAACCAATAATGTTTCAAAGTACTGTAATAGGCATGTACACACACAAAATGGTAGGAGACTGTCATAGGCAAATTGAGGTTGGCCCCCAACGCCTATTTTAAGCAAGGAAGACTTTTATGAAGACTAAGGTGATGTTATTTTCCAGGGAGTTTATCATCTGTTCAAAATATCCCATCTCACATACACACAACAGTTTTTAATTGTTATTACTTTTTTATGTTATTATTTCAGAGTAACAAATGTAAATAATAACATAGTTGCATGTTAATTAAGAGAGAGAGAAGAGGTGACATATGAGTGGATATAGATGGGAAAGGGATTGTAAAAGGGGGGGGGGGCCATGTTATTTGTGGATGTCATATTAATTTGAGGAAATTACATGATATTCTCTATTGTTAGGGTATTTCTAAGGACTTTTTTTTATAGGTTATTGCAGAGTAGAGCAATGCATCAGCTATTACTAAAGCAGAAATGAATAAACTGTTGCTAGATTAAAGATGCATCAGCTGTTGCTGGAATAAAGAATAATCAGCTGTTGCTAATAGTAGAAATGAATTTCTTGAGATATCTTGAGATGATTTCGGGGCTTTAGTGTCCCCGCGGCCCGGTCCTCGACCAGGCCTCCACCCCCAGGAAGCAGCCCGTGACAGCTGACTAACACCCAGGTACCTATTTTACTGCTAGGTAACAGGGGCATAGGGTGAAAGAAACTTCTGCCCATTGTTTCTCGCCGGCGCCTGAGATCGAACCCAGGACCACAAGATCACAAGTCCAGCGTGCTGTCCGCTCGGCCGACCGGCTCCCCATTGGCTGTTGCTAAAGTAGAGATGGATCAGCTGTTGCTGCAGAAGAAATTAATTAGCTGTTGCTCGAGTGAAAATCGATAAGCTGTCGCTAGAGTGAACATGGTTAAACTTTTGCTAGAGTAGAGAGGTGGGTCAGGTATTGCAGTAGAGATGCATCAGGTGTTGCTGTAGTACAGTACATTTACACATCAAACCTTTGTCAAGTTTGCTTAATTATCAACAGTTAAGCAGTATAAATTACTTGAAAAACTACTTCCAATAGTTACTTGATCCTATACACATTGAACACGTTATTGCCAACATTTTTATGTTAAAAGAAAGGATAATGAGTTTAAGTCAGACATTCAGCATTTGTATTTGAAAAATAATTGCTACGTACATTCATTTCTGTTGGATCATGGGGTAAATGTGTACTCAAGTTCCTGAATGAGTTGGGAATCGACTCATTATGGAAACTAAGGTGTCCGAGTGAACGGGTACCTGTTCTCAGACCCGGGCATTGCAATTTAGCAAGGAAATGCTTGCTGTATTCTCGACACTGATCATGTCTTGCCTCTGTAGGAACTGGAGAGGGTTTTCAAATTTTAGCTAAGGTCAACTGTGTATCAGAAAAAAAAAAATAGGGAAAATAAAAGTACTGATATTGGTATAATTTCATTTCCCAAAGTAAGATCCTTTACACAGTATAAACAATATGTACATATTGTGAGTCTGACTAATGATACTTTGTGTAACATGAGTAAACAGAGACTCGAAATAAGTGATAGAGACTGTTTTACTACTGGATAATCAACAACCACAATTCTGTCTTATATTACAAATAATCAAAGTTATTCCGATATTTAAGATTTGCCCCAATATACCACTTAACACATTACTTAATTTCACTAAAAAGCTTCATGTTATTTCTGCCTGTTCTGATCTGCAAGGAACATATTACAGTACTTTAGTTATATATTAAGGAATGTGGTGAACCGAACTCCCGACCAGAAATATCCACATTACTTTCAATTTTAAAAGTGAATCGTTCAGGCCATTTGTGAATTTCAGTTAGCATATTACTTCAATCCTACCCAAAGCTTTCACACACAAATAGTCAAGTTAGTTTTGAATTTGAAGCGGATATTTATTGACAAATTTCAATGCTAAAATAAGAGTAAATGTTTATCAATCCCTATACTCCTCATATTGCATTTGCAAATAATGGAGCTCATATTCATCACATCGCTTTTTATGGCATTTGTTCCACGGGGTAAAAATCTTCCCTCTTCTTGGGTAAACATGACAAAACCTATATTATTAATCAATTAGAAGCCCCAGCAAAAAATTCATACAAGATGTGAAGAAAATACTTAGTACCGTATATTATGATTTTTTCTTAATAAATGAGATTAATTCATATTACTATAGTAAATTTGTTGTTTTAGAGAATGTGAGACTGCTTCCAGATGCCAGGTTTGGAGGCAGTAACTTGCTAGTTGTTGAATCCAAATGCTTTACAGAGCCTTAACGGCAGTAGCAGCAGCATGAGCCAAAAGAGCATCGGCAGCTTGACGTGTTTCAAGAGTTAGTCTGGCTTCCTTTAACCAACTTGTGGCAACATTGCGAGGTTCCCCACGGAGTAGATTCATGTAACGAACGCTTAGAGACAGATCATCCTTGTCAAGGCAATATCTGCAAAGACACACTAAAATAACAAACATTCCATAATTCTAATTTTGCAATAAAAGCTTCAGATTAAAATAATAAATATATCAAGTTAAATTGCATGGAGATCAAAAAGTGAGGGGATCATTAGAGCATTCTTTATGTATATGTATATATAAAAGTGGCATATATCCATGCAAATATGGTACATGCATCATGTTAGAAAGTGCGTAGGACTAGAACGACGAGAGCAAGTCGGGTATAAAAGGCTGAAAGTCAGAGCATTAAGAGTTAGTTCTTACTTCCCTAAAGTCACTGATAGGTAAACATAGTACAAACCCACTGCACATGAAAATAATAAGTCTCAGGGTGAAAACAAGGTAACTGAATCTGGTCTTGTGCAAACAATGAGCCACAACAACCTGGCATAAGACCAGATGACCAAACCACAACTCAGAATTCGGAGACATGACGACGTTTCGGTCCATCCTAGATCATTATCAAGCCATGTGAAACATCGTCGTCGCTTCTCCATCTTCTGAGTCGTGGTTTGATGATCTGGTCTTGTGCCCTTGTGGTCACAAACTTAGAGGAATGAGTCAGGACTTAAAAGTGCTGTTACCTGGCTCTGGCTAAGATATCATAGGTGGAGAGGGTGTCAACTGCAATCTCTTCATTACGAACTTCAGTGCCAGGCAAGTATTCAAAGGCATTTAGGACCAAAAAACTCTGTATGAATGAGAGAAGATACCTGAAAAATATATGCAATATATATTAGTTGTAGATAAATACCATCGTAAGGGATCATACTTTCTACCAAATGATAAATGATGTGTGGAGATCATGTGATTTTGTTATCACAGCCTACTGACACGGGTAATGATAAATATGACATCAGAGGTGAAGTATAGCTACAGATACTCTGCATAGACTGCGACAACATTAGTCAATATGTCACTAGACGTAACAACATAACGAGAAAATTTTTTCCCTACCTATGTGTATCTACTATAAATTTGTGATGAGTAGGTCCTTGTATAACACTGGAGATGCATATTAGAAAAAAAACATTCTGCTTTACAAAAACACTCACCACAAATGGACATCTTTGAGGTGCAGCAAAAGTTTCAGAATGCTTGGAAGATGTCAAGATGCAATGAGTATTAAAAAAAAAAAAAATCATTCAATCAAAGAGGCGAATAAAATCTTCAAGGACTAGGGTGCTCACTTATAACACTTACAAAGTGATATAAATAACATATACATAATCTTTACACATTTCCCATGGGATCAGAAGGCATCAGCCAAAATTAAAAATGTATACAATATAGCTTTTATTGTAATGAAATGCTACGTTCTGAGATGCACCTAGGTAGTTGCCCTTCTTGAGGTTATCTTGAGATGATTTCGGGGCTTTTTTAGTGTCCCTGCGGCCCGGTCCTCGACCAGGCCTCCACCCCCAGGAAGCAGCCCGTGACAGCTGACTAACACCCAGGTACCTAATTTACTGCTAGGTAACAGGGGCACAGGGTGAAAGAAACTCTGCCCATTGTTTCTCGCCGGCGCCTGGGATCGAACCCAGGACCACAGGATCACAAGTCCCGCGTGCTGTCCGCTCGGCCGACCGGCTCCCACTTATCACCCTTATCACCAGTCATAGTAACTATGACAAACCCTGGTGACAATCTCGGCAATAAACCTTACTAGTGTGTTTATCATCACTGATCCTCAGGGTAATGTGGTTTTTCATATGATGATTTCAGTTATTATCACCTGATTTTATACAAGTGATGTAAATACAGTATGGTTATAATACATCTATTTGGATGCAATGAAGTTAAGCTACATCTACAAAACCCTATAATCATTTTGAATAGCTTACTATGCAGTGACGTTATTGTGTACCAGTAGCCTAGAATTACCACCAAATCAGTATTTAGAGTTTGAATTTATTTCTGTATTGCAATCGGTGGAAGCTGGATATGCAATTGAGTTAAGAGAGATGTAAGGAAGTTCTCGGTCCCTGTACAGGTGGTAGGAAAGTGGGACGCATTGAAGAGGTTGCTAAAGCCAATTCCATTGACAACTTTAACAAAGAAATATGATGAAGTTAATACTGATAGGGGTAATTAGCACACCAGGTATAAACGGTTAGGAGGCAGGGCATAAAGAGCTAGATCTCCTTTCCCCTTAGACACTAACAGGTATTGATAGGTAAACACATTACTTTTCACCTTTAAATCCAGTAGTTACCAGATCCCTTCCATCTACAAGATAGGGAGAAATGATGCTAGAGGACTTCAAAAAGCATTAGTAGTACTTAGCCTTATACAGTACCTGTATAGGGATGCGAGATTGGTCTGCAGAAGCATGAATAACATAACACAGACATGTGGGTGTAAAACTTTGTCAGTTCTATCTGAGGAGAACATATCACGTTGGTTTGATCACACAGAACAAAGGGTGGTGATAGAGTGGTCAAGAAAATTTAAATGAATTCAAATGAAAAGTGGCCTTATATTTTGTGTGGTTATGCACAAAGAAAACCAAATACTTACGTAATTAGAGAACCACCATTATCGCCTATCATAGATACACGCTTACAAATTCTTTCAACCTTTATAAAGCGTTCTCTCAAGGCTTCTTCTGTGTACACTCCACGGGTCTGAGCCTCTTCAGACACAGCACTCAACACTGCACCAACGTAAGGATTACCATTGCCTGAGATCAGAAAAAGCAAAAGAAAAGTAATTAAAACAAAATACCAACGTGGCATATTGGATATGTTTCCTGAATAACTCCCCGGTGCTAATGTGCTGATACTGTATCAATAAGCCTAAGAATCATACCACACCTCTGAGACCCAAGCAGGCCTACTGGGAGCCAGGATAAGAATTTAACTCTCTTTGTGAGGCGAGGGGAAGCTCAAGCAAGTTTCTACCCAGAAATAATGAAATTGACCAGAAAGATTAGCCAAAAAAAACAACAGAGATGAATGTATGAATGTACACAGAGAAACAGCTTTTATATTTACACAGAGAAGCGGAGATCAAACGAGAATAAATTTCAGCCCTTTAGACTCACCTGTTGCTGCCTTGATTGCTGATATTTGTTCACTAAGAGGTCTGAGCTGTTCCTCCCATGATTTAGCACCATCAGTTCCAAGTCTGCGTGGAAAAAAAAAATATATATATACTGTGTATATATGTGTTTGTATATTATATATATATGCATGTGTAATTACCTAAGTGTGTTATATGTATGCTTTATTGTCTTCACCAACTTTTAGAATATTTTAAGAGGCAAGAAGGAAGATATTTTGTGAGCTATAATACCATTTATACTGTACAGTATTTTGATTATTGCACAAACAGCAAATCATGTTAAACAATGCACAATAATATAGTGTAATGGAAACAAATTAAAATACCCCAGTACTAGTAGAATAATGTCTTATCTCGATCCCAACAGACGTCTCAAGATTGTACTTGCATGGTATATAAAGCACACGCACACATTTACTGAAATCAACTGAGACACAAGAGAAAATTTATTAATCAATTATTTAATTAATTGATTAATTACTGCCTTCAAAACATGACCAATTCAACTCCCATCATAATGCACGGGGGTCGCGTGTATTTAGTCTACTCGGGAGGCTTACATATTTAGGCTAGGTGTTCTATACAGTATTGGGAAATGGTCATTACCTCAGTGCACTTCGTAAGGCCTCACATGCCAGCCATAGCTCACGAGCAGCATAAGCAGCTTTATCAACATCAGCTCGGGCTGACAGTGCATTCTGAAAAATTTCAACAATGTACAGTACAGTATATGATTAGAAAAAGTTTATGTCAAAGACATTTCCTTAGATAATACCATTTCTAAATGGAATTAAATAGAATTAAATTCATTAAATGGAATTAAATCGTAAATGGAATTAAATGTGAATAAATACTACATTATAGAACAAATCCACCAGGGCCTTGATGAGGGCTCGAACCTACGCACGGGATGTTCCCAGCTGTGCCTTAGTCAATCATGCCACGACGTGGTTAAAGCCCTTGTGGAATTGTTCATGTGATATATCACGCTATTGTCATTTCTGCGTGTACTACATTATAGAAAGTGGAGGAGAAAATAGGCCTCCCACACACAATCTATAAATCATATGGGAAGGAATTAAAGAATTAACAAAAAGATATCTAGGGGTGGTTCTGAATAGTAGACTGTCACCAAAGGAACACACAAAGGACATTGTGCCAGGAGCAAATACTATGCTAACTTCAGAATTGCTTTTAAATACATGGATGGAGAAATATTAAAGATATTGTTCACAACCTTAGTGAGACCAAAATTGGAATATGCATCAGTTGCTTCATGCCCATATCTCAAGCATATCAACAAACTGGAAAAGGTGCTAGGATATGCAGCAAAATGGCTTCTGGAACTGAAAGACAAGAGCTACGAGGAGAGGCCTGAGGTGTTAAAGTGAGGTGGTGGTGGTGGAGGCCAAACAGTCAGTAGTTTCTAAGCATCAATTGACAAAGAGCACTGGGAAGACGGAACACCACAAGCGTAGCTCTGTAACTACACTTTAGATAATTACATACGAACACATACACTTTCCAAATTTAAACCAAATATCTTTAGCCATTCTTGCAATGCATAAAAATAAAAATATTTTGTATTCAAAACTTTGCAGCGTATCATTTGCAAATGAGACTACCGAGAGTTCCCTTTCATTGGGGACTGCACAGATAGTGGTACATCTATGTTTATTCATTTACAATAGTAACAATTCCTGAAGAGCCACGATGAGGATTCAAACTTGCTTAACTTGGTACTCCCAAGCAAATGCCCTAAACCCCTTAACCACGACATGGTCAAAAGCAATGCAACCAGGGATTCCAGTGAATAATCCTCTTGGGGTCCCAAAGCTTCCAACTTTAGCCCAATCAGGGTTTTACACATTGTCTACCCCCCCCTCCCTCCCATGCACTTTGGCTTATGGCAAAATGTGTAAAACCCTAATTGGACTTCAGTTGGAAGCCTCAGGACCCAAAGAAGATTCACTGGAATCCCAGGTTGCATTGCTTTTGACCATGTTGTGGTGAAATGGGCTGAGAGAATACCATGTAAGCAAGTTCGAATCCTGCTCACAGCTCCTACTGAGCTGTGAGCAGGATTCCCCTGCAGGCACAATCAGATTTCATTCTGCTTGCAACAATTCCTACACAACCATAATTAAGTGCTCAAAGATTAAAACCACTGCACAAAGTCATTCTTCAGATATGAACACTTGCATTTGGAAAATATATAAATAACCCTCTGACAACTTTACTTTTAGAGTTCTAAATAAACCTGTGAAAACCATACGATAATCCTACCATACCAGGGATACCTAAATATTACAAACGTCCACTACGAATGAAAACGTGCTGCCCTTTTGTGTACCCACCTTGAGGCCATCTAGCTGTCCCTGCATCCTGGCAACACGTGTCAGATATCTATCCTTTTCTGACTGAAGCTGGTCCTGCAGGAGTTCAGACCATCTGCAACAATTATCAAAGGCAATTATAACAATACTAGAAGGGGTACCTGGCAGTGCTCAAGATTACCTGCCTTTTTGTCTCTCCTTATCTCTCACTCATCATCCTCCTCTCCATCCCTATATCCCTTTCTTCCCTCTACTTCTCTTTCGCTCAGGGGAATTGACAGGGTAGATAAGAACAGATTATTTAACACAGGTGGTACTCGCACAAGGGGACACAGCTGGAAACCGAGCACCCAAATGAGCCACAAAGAAATTTGAAAGAACTTTTTCAGTGCCAGTAATTAACAAATGGAATGCTTTAGGAAGTGATATGGTGGAGGCTGACTTTATTCACAGTTTCAAATATTGTATGGATAAATGATGGAGCCCAATAGGCTCGGAATCTGTACACCAGTTGATTAACAAATGAAAGGCGGGACTGAAGAGCCAAAGCTCAATCCCACAATCAGGCGTGAACAATTAAGTAAATATAAAAAATTATTTAAACCCATTCATTAGTTTCAGTTTGATAAATAACATGTAATAAATTGAAAAGCATACTTGGTCTCTAATTCTTTTTCTTGTACATATAATACATCAGCCAAATGGTCACTGTGGGCAGCTGCTTGACGCTTCAGCTGGATCCGTAGTTCTCCTTCAAGGTCTTCACGAAGATGTGCCATCTTGCGTCTGAGAACAAAAAAAAAAAATAATAATAATAATCTCAAACTAATTATCTGCTTCTGAGTTATATAATTCTGGTACTCATTAAAGCACTTCTTAAATATTCTCTATACGTTGTGTCCAAAGGACTGCCCTATGCACAGTCACACAGGGCAACTTTTTTAACACTGGTGCCACTGGAAACTTAAATCCCTCATGTTCAGTAAGGAGTTAGGGAGTGACTAGAGAATTTTCAAGTCAAGCCCAGGGAAAATTAACAGAAGGCTAATCATAAGACTCAAAAACCCTTTCAAATTTTCCCCTACTTTTATACCTAAATCAGTCACCTCCATGTAGCAGCTGGTCTCTCTCTCTCTCTTTTCTTTCTAGACACACCTATGGGTTCCTTAACTCTTTTTAAATGAGAGTATCATTAAAAGTACTGGTATTACTAAACCTATGCTCAAAAATTGTCTTTTCTGAGAGGGCTCCCAAGGTGGCGACCAGTTGCTAGCCATTCTGGATAGCTCTACACCTATCAAATTGCACCACACATTTTCGGTCCACGGCTCAAAATAAAGATGGTCCCAGTAACGGTTCTTTCTGAAGAATGGAACTATGACTGATCCATTCACCTGGGCTCTGGGAGACTCCAACTGTGGACCCCACACGTGTGAGGCCCAAGCTCCTCACTTATTGAACGACGACTGACTTGGTCCTTGCATTAAACATGTGAAATATTTAACTAAAATGAAATATAGAATAACACCAGAAATCATTAATATTTAATTTAAGAGAATTAGTTAAATTCCAAATACTGTACTGTAATACAATTAATACAACTAAAACAAAATTAATTAAATGAAACTAGGAATTTTGTTATTAAGTTGAATGCTTCCGGTTTCATTCAAGACAACAAGCATTTTGTTTTGTTTTGATAGACATGTAGTTTAAAGATTTTGACAAGTCACTTCGAGGGTTGACATGTCTCTTACGGCGCTATCTCATACCTGGGAGTACAGTACCTTTAGACTTACTTTGACTAGCATTGGTAGTTAGTGGTGTATGGAGGGTATTACTACTTTTATGCTTTAAAAATGACTGACAACACTGTGGCACCAGAAAGAACAAACCTTTGTTAATCATCGAAAGTATATCTTTGACGTCAAAAATTACGTACACTGTACTGCTATATCTATCAAAATGAATTTGAAATTTCTTCAGGAAAACCATTGCCATATATATATGCTAGATACATTCTAACTAAGACAGTATTTAAAGTTTTAAACTAATGCAACAATATTATTAATTACCAGACAAAACAAATTGTAAATGTTTATACACACTTGTATTCAACTTCCAACTTCTGCTTTTGCCTGTCTAATTCAGCATCTATTTTTGCTTCCAATAACTTCATGTCCTCTTCACGTTGATTGCTTAGAGCTTCTTTAAACCGGTCATGTTCCAACGTCTGGTAAGATAAACATGTATTTAGTGATTATTATATGAACTTGATGAAGCAGTACATTAATAAAAAATGTATAAATCTAAAGTGGAAATTGCAATTTATCCTTTATGTTTTCTGTTGACAAAGATATTACAAACTGCTTACTGCACGAGGCACAACAGTTGCATCAAAACTAGATACTTTCACCAACTTCACACCTTTTTGGACATTTGCAATAACATGCAAGTGTGTTGTGAAGCAATGACTTCACAACACATTTGGTGTGTGAGTGTGTCAGGTGACTGCTTATTCCTTTTCAAAATTACCAGGTCACCCATTCCTTAAATGATTCATAAAGCAATACAACACCAAAATCTGCCACCAGGGGCTACATAGCTCAATAACCATAGTTTTTGTTTTTTTTGAGATATATACAAGTTGTTACATTCTTGTACAGCCACTAGTACACGTAGCGTTTCGGGCAGGTCCCTGGAATACGACCCCCACGAAGAATCGTTTTTACAACAAACACCCATTTTACTGTTGAGTTGAACAGAGGCTACAGTTAAGGATTTGCGCCCAGTAAATCCTCCCCGGCCAGGATATGAACCCATGACAAAGCGCTCGCGGAACGCCAGGCGAGTGTCTTACCACTACACCACGTAGACTAAGGCATGAGTCTTAGTCTTAATTTTGCATGAACATAAAATTATACTTGCCAGTGGCAATATTAGAAGATTTATAAACAGCTAAAAATTATTTTATACTTGAATAATTATAATTATTCAAGTATAAAATTATACTTGCCAGTGGCAATAATGAAGGATTCCTAAACAGCTAAAAATTATTTTATCCCACCAAATAATGTATATACTCTAACCATAAAATCTTAATTATCAGAATATAAAAAACAGAATGGTGTCACAATGTTAAGTTCATTCCTAGCTACCTGTTGACTAGCAACTTGCTTTTGCAGCTGAAGAACCTTACGATGGGCGTGGGCAATGAGAAGATTTAATTCATCTGGTGTTAATTTGTCACTCGTCTCGCCCAATTTCACTTCGGGTAAAAGTGATCGAACCTCTGCTTCAAATTCCTCCCGGCCAGCTTCAATAAGATCCCGATAATCACCTAATGGGAATGAAGAAAACATAGCATACTATTAATAAAGAGTTTTGTACAGCTTTTTTCTAGTTAAACTTCTCTGTAGCTCCCTGCTGCATTAGGCTTTTGAACCACAGGAGACATTCAAAACAAAACCAGACCTCTAGATGCAAACTTACTGGAAACCAAGAGAAATGCACTCCTAGAGGCAAAAAGGAAGTTGGAGATCTGAGATGATAAAAAAATACAGGTAATGTGTTAAATGTGTCAATATTAATGATGTGTCAATATATGATGATGTGTGTGTCAATATTAATGATGTGATAGATAATGATGTGTCAATATTAATGATGATAATGTGTCAATAAAATGCCTCTTTCTGGTTATTGTTAGCTGCTCTGAATAGTTCCATGCCTATCAAGTTACACCAGGCCCTTGCGAGCCAATAACACATACCCAAGAACAGAAGCCAAAACTTGGCTCCTCTTCAAAGAGGTGCAGAGGATGTGCGGATCTACGCATCATCCTCACCAAGGAACTATCCTCCAGAAAGGTAAAGTGAATTAAAACAGACAACAGCAAGGCAAATTTAAACAAAGCAGAAAATAATCCACCCAATAGTTAGGTCATTAGCAAATGCTGCCCACCACCAGGTAGCAGCACTGGCTCCATCTAGTAAACACACGGAGTCATTAGCCGACCAAAAGCAAACTGGCATATATAGAAGGGAGGGTCCAGAGAACGATCAATGTTCCTCTACAAAGAGGCATCTTATTACACTCGATGCTGGTTGTCTGGACGAGATCACTCACCGACTAAGTCACAAGAGAAAAGAAGTGGGGACCTCACCAGGGGCAGGGGGCAGAGCCCAAACTCTGAAAGGTGGAGGGTTAGAGACAGGTAATCCAGCCTAAAGGAAACAAAAGTTCAACAGGTGCACCCTGCTATTAACCAAGTAATGAACCCCTAAAACCCTGTTAGCCAGCTAGAACTTCCTAGACCACATAGTAACCCAAGATATACAAAAAAGTTGACCAAACCACACACTAGAAGGTAAAGGGACGACGACGTTTCGGTCCGTCCTGGACCATTCTGAAGTCGATTGTGATGAAGTAGAGACAGGCAATAAATAGGCAAGAGAGAGCTGAGGAGCAAAGTAAGGTGTAGTAGAGGGGATGATAGTAATAATAAGAACTGCAGAGGGCCTATTGGCCCATACGAGGCAGCTCCATCACAATCGACTTGAGAATGTTCCAGGACGGACCGAAATATCGTCGTCCCTTCACCTTCTAGTGTGTGGTCTGGTCAACATACTTTAGCCACGTTATTGTGACTCATCGCCTACATAAACGAATAAGAAAAAATGCAACAAAGCCACAAGTATACACACATCATGGGCTTGAGAGTAGACCACACCTCCAGTTGTTAGACAGGAGCAACTTCATGCTCTTCTTGGGAAGCACAGGATTCATTTTTTTTGCCCTGGTGGGCAGTTTCTTCATCTGCCGACTTCTTTTCTGGCCAAGAGTGAGATGGTTGCCTTATGGAGGGGTCCACTGATTATAGCTTCTCTATTTGTTCAGCCGTGGGGTGCATCATTCACTGGGTCCAGTTGTGGCTGCCTATCGTTATCTACATGCCATCACAGTTGTTTTTGACCCGGTGTCCTTGGTGTCTTACTCCTATGCCCATTTATCTCAGGTTATCTGCACTGTCATCAAGTTTAGCCAGCCTGCAGTCTATCACCAAGTGCATGATGTGTGTACAGTATGTCCATAGTTTTGTCCACATTCCTTTTTATCATTTGCTAGGCTGATATTAGGGCCTGGGGATTTTGGTGGTTTGTTATTTGGTTAATATCTATGGGCCCCATCAGGTTTGTTTGCTTTAGATTCAGTTACATGTCCCTGACCATATGCCTCTCGGAGGTTGGATTCGGCTCCTCTCCGCCCCTAGTGAGTGCCCCACCTTTCTTTTGTGGGGAAGGAGAGGGGAGAAGGAAGGTAGAGCAGGTGGGAAAATAGGAAAAAGGTGGAGAGGGTAAAAGAGGGGGGAATAAGCAGAGATTGGGAAAGAGGGTAGAGACATAATGGGAAGGGAAAGAGACACCCGGGCACAGATGAGAACACCATCTAATCCAACAAATAACACAATATACATGTAAACTGATCATTATACTTACTGACAACTTTGCTATCCCTCTCAGAATCTGTCACAATGTTTTTAATGTTTTCCAAAGCATATTTCAGTTCTCCAACAGCCTCCTCTGCAGTAATCAGATTCTTATTCTCCTTGGTCAAGCTTGAGGAAAGACCACTGGCAATCTGCTCTTCTAATTTCGTAACAGCCTCACTGGTTTAACAGGAGATAAATATTTATTATTAATATGTCACATAACAGGTATATATATATATATATATGTATATATATCTCACACTGTTAGTAACATGGTTTTCCATATAAAAAATAACATTTTCATCTCCATTAACTAATCTCACCTAGTAACAATTTGTTTTATTTTTTTATTTTATTCAACAGTAATTTCTACATTTTTGCTTCACAAATATATTTACAAGTTAATGAACAACCACAGAGGGAGGAAAATCGGCCTAACAGAATGCCCTTTTCTCCATACTAGGTCTACTTACACTTTAAAAATATAGTATTAGTATTATTCAATGTCAAGCTGCTGTTGCAATCAAAGGTGCCCATTAATGCCCGTTTCTTTTTCAATGCCAGAAAACACTCACTTATACTGAAAATTCCAAGTATTGTACCACTCATAAAACAGCAATGATATATATTGTACAAACCCAGCTGCTGATATCTTCTGTTGGGCAATTGTCATTACTTCTGCTTTCTTGTTAGACAGCTCAGCGACGGCAGCAAAAAGTAACTCTTTATCTTGCCCTGAGTCAATGGCTTGGTATGCCTTCTCGGCATGTTGCCTGATTATTATGGCCGCATCCTCAGCAGCAGAAAGTGCAGCGGTGATGTCTTTTTGTGCTACTGATGCCAGATCCTCCAAGGCTTGACAAAGTGCAGCATTTTCTGTATCCTGAGCTGCTACTTCTGAAGCTATTCTCTCTCCAAAATTTGAAACTGCTGAAAGATTAATTACATAATTGTAATTAATAAAATATTTGTAAATAATAAAAGTGAGGTAATTGGTGTTTTATAAACACAAACCGTCTAGACTCTCAAAAAAATCTCAAAAAAATCAAACTAGGCCTTGTGACAACAGGACCATATAACTCATCCCTAGAGAATGGAATATTATTTACGTCCTCTGACCAGAAGAGAAGTTTCACAAGTGACTTTTAACTGTCATCACGAAGAAAATACAGCCAATAAACAATTTGCCTGCAAATTGTCTTGAATTTCATCTAAACTTCATCAACAATACCACAAAACCACAACTTCATAAAGTAAGGCGAGAGTAGCACAGAAGAATTGGGGGCACAGAGGATCCAGGAACAATGAGAGGTAAAGAAAATTTTAATCAGTTGTAAAAAAAAAAAAAAATTGTCCTTGTTCCATTGCCTTTCATCTACCTCTATTATTCCTTTGCTAATTATAAATTGTCTACCCGTACACAACGTGCTATCGGATGTAATCAAATATTAAATTAAACCAAAATACTGTATATAGCAATCATATTTAGATTACACTTGTTATAATGTCAAATTCATTTACATGCCCATGCATTTTACAAACTTAAATTAATGTATTACGCTGTAGATTACTGAAACTTATTTCAGCTTGGCAGGTCATGGTACCTGACTTAACCACTGGATATTTCAACACTGTACACACACTAAGCTATACCTACTGTGTCAATAACATCATTATTATTTACGATAAAAACCCACACTTGTGTATTTGTGAAATTTATTTAAGGAATTTACACCAAGTTCTTCACACTCTCCTGAGTGCTTTATCAATGTCCGAGTGTGTGATTAGGATGAGACTTGCAGTGTGTGACTGGGTGATTAGGACATTATTATTACAATTATTATTATTATTATTGCTGCTTTTTAAAGAATACAATAATGAGAGTCATGTAGAGTCTTCAGCTGTATCTACCTGGTTTGTCCAAAGGCGTAGCTGGGAAAGGCTCAAGGGACGGCTCTCCTCCTGTAATGACAGTTGTGTCCAATCCTGAAACAAATTGAAAGTTTTTTTTTTTTATCTAGGAGACCTGCCCACCTTAACTAAATGCAGCTTACTAAAGAAAAACCAAGACCAGATGTGAGGGGTCAGAAATATCTGAAAATTAAAAGCATAAAATGAATGGGGGTCATTATTTTTATATATAGGGTGTACAAGTGTGTTAATTTAAGAATAAGATGGATTCAGTGCAAGAAAGGAAGAAAAATATATATGTATTCGTAAATGCATATGATGGTGTGTAAAGAAAATGATATAGGAAGAAATCAGATGGATTTTATTTTTTATCAATTGAATGATTGTGTGAAGCTACAAGATGGATGGAAATTGATTGCTCTAGGAAATATTAATACTTTAGTATTAATATTAAATATTAATTTAATGCAGGGGAAAGTGAGGTGTCAGGTGGGAATGGGGATTTGTTGGTGCATAAGCATTTAGAGAGATTTGTCTCAAATACTTTGAGCATAGGTTCATACATAGTACAGTATATATGAATGTTAAAGAAAGGGGATAAAAATGAAGCAAAAGATGATTTGAATATGTATGTGTTGATAGAAGTTGTGCAAAATTAAGTGAGAGGTGGATTTTTTAACGAGTATACATACATGGATGGGATATTTAAGGGGTAAAGGCAAGAATACCAGGAAATGAAAATAGATTGTCATGAAAATAAATTGATGTTATTGAGAGATTTATATGCAGACAATGTGGTATTCTTTATCAAAGGTGTGGAGAAATTGCAGAATTATTACCATACTCATCTGTCTTGCTGCCTTCATTGCTAGCTATGCTGGCTGAGGCTGCCTTCTCCTCAGTTTTCTTCTTTTCACGTTCAAGCTTCTTCTTCAACAATCCAATTTCTGGTTTAGGAATCTTAGGGGAAACAGTCTCTTGCTCTGGGCCAAGAATAACATTCAGGAGATGCCTGGATCCAGGAATGATGTTCTCAACAGCCTAAAATATGCGTAAGACAGTTACAAGGTTGTTCCCCCCGCTAACATTTCATTGAAAACCTAATTAAATGCTTCTCCCTTGGATGTAAATATAGTGATGAAGAGACTAAATAACGTTCCACTTGCAAAAGTCATTAAATTCATGAACTAGTCTTTTCTACTACAGACATTGGTGCTGTTTGCAATTTCTCTGTATGTGTAAACATGCCAGCATACATTTCACACATCTCTGCAAATTGCACTGTACTGGGCAATCCAATATTGTAGGACCACATAGTATTACAACCACATTAAATTACAGTACTGTATCCACTACATGCCATATAATATTCATTAATTCTGAATGGACTAGATTTCAAACAAAACCAAGACATTCGCAAGTAAAACAATAAACGACATGCAGATGAGGAGTCACAATAACGTGGTTGAAGATATGACATCCAAACCAAACCACACACCAGAAAATGAAGAAATGACACCATTTCAGTCCCTCCTGGATCATTATCAAGTTGTATGATGAAAAGAGTGTGGAAGAGATAGATAACATACGGGAAAAGAGTGGGATGAATGAAAGAAAAAGATGAAGATAATAGGTTGAAACATAAGAATAAGAAAAAAGGTACAAATAAAGAGAAAGAAAGAACCAAATAATGTAAAGGAATGGGTAGATAGGAAGGAAGAAGAAGAAGAATAGGAAAAAGAGGTTATAAAAAAGTTAAAGAACAGAAAACTGCAAAAAGCCAAAGGCGAGGAAAACATCTAGTAATGAGACAAACAGGAAAGAGCTTAGATAGGGCTAAGCTAAGTCAGATAATATTTGTTAAGAAGGTTGGAGCATTTAAGTATGTACTACTGTGAAAGGGGACGAATCAACCGCAATAAAGCTAGGACTAAGGTTCATGTTGGGCATGTTATGTATCAGAGCAGATTCAATAAAACGGTGTCTGTGAAAAGTAGAGGCAGGAAAGATTATTTTAGACAACCAATCGACAGGATGATCAATAGTTTAAGGGTTAACATGACAGTAGTGAGCATTGTTTGTGTCTACAGACTAGACGCTTCTTTCGAGTTCCTCACGTTTGTAATTCAGTGTACGGCCAGTTTCACTAAAGTATTGGAAAGGACAAGACAAGCAGAAAATAAAGTAGACACCAACAGCATTGGAAGGAGGAGGAGCAGTGTGACCCATTTACTATGAAGTGTGTTAGTTTGGTTGAAAGGCGAGTTTTACACCAAGAGGACGAAGGATATTAGAGTTTTTTATTTTGTTTTTCTGAGCATGCACCATTTTGCATGCCCAGAAAAATGCACTAAAACACACATAGCCTGACATCAGTCTCAAAGAAAATTAAGTTATCATATCATAAATAAAATTTAGCATTGCAGTCTCTCATGGCAGGTGTGGGTATGTATGATTCTCAAAGAAGGCTGATTAATTTGACATCTGATTGTGGTAACAGAACAATGCACATGACCAGGAAGTCTCAGCCAAGATTCAAACATACATACATACAGCTGAGTAATTTGACATCTGATTGTGGTAACATATCAATGCACGCGACCAGGAAGTCTCGGCCAAGATTCAAATAACATACACACTATATAGTATAAACAAATAGGCGAACCTTTCTGTTGTCATTGCTCCAAGCAGAATAGCCAACTACACCAGCCACAAGCGTAGTTGTACCGGCTGCTGCCAATAGGGCCTTGCTGCCGCCACCTCCTCGGCTCGAGTATGACGATTGTGGTCGTCTGGCACCACCAACTCGCACTACCTATGTTCAAAGAACCAGCATTAATAAGTACAAATAAGTGAAATAAACTTTCATGTACAGTACTCAATATACGGTACCTGTAAAATAATAATAAAATATTGTACTGTATTAAGTAGTAATGTACATATGACTATATGTACTAACTATATGACAATATGCCGGCTTCCTGTTCCCATTGAAGCCCCTAGCATTATGACCACTGGGCGACTGGGACCAGAGTTACGGTCACCAGGACCAACATTATGGCTGCCGGGACCAGCGATACTGTCACCAGGACCAACATTATGGCTGCCAGGACCAGCGATACTGTCACCAGGACCAACATTATGGCTGCCAGGACCAGCGATACTGTCACCAGGGGCCAAACTTATGGCTGCCGGGACCAGCGATACGGTCACCAGGACCAACATTATGGCTGCCGGGACCAGCTTTAAGGTTGCCTGGAGATCAGAACTAGAGTTACAAGTGCTTGGTTACCAGGACCTGTGTCACAGTTGTCAGGTGACTGGGACCAGCATTATGTTGTTGGGTGACCGGGACCAGTGTTATGGTCCCCAGGCGACTAGGAGACTGGTCCCAGTCACTTGGGGACTGTGATACTGGTCCATGGAACCATGCAACTGGTCCCAGTCCTCCAGGTGACCGATACCAGTGTTACAGTCCCGCAGGTGACCGGTACCAGTGTCACGGCCCCCCAGGTGACCGGTACCAGTGTTACAGTCCCCCAGGTGACCGGTACCAGTGTTACAGTCCCCCAGGTGACCGGTACCAGTGTCACGGTCCCCCAGGTGACCGGTACCAGTGTCACGGTCCCCCAGGTGACCGGTACCAGTGTCACGGTCCCCCAGGTGACCGGTACCAGTGTCACGGTCCCCCAGGTGACCGGTACCAGTGTCACGGTCCCCCAGGTGACCGGTACCAGTGTCACAGTCCCCCAGGTGACCGGTACCAGTGTCACGGTCCCCCAGGTGACCGGTACCAGTGTCACAGTCCCCCAGGTGACCGGTACCAGTGTCACGGTCCCCCAGGTGACCGGTACCAGTGTCACGGTCCCCCAGGTGACCGGTACCAGTGTCACAGTCCCCCAGGTGACCGGTACCAGTGTCACAGTCCCCCAGGTGACCGGTACCAGTGTCACAGTCCCCCAGGTGACCGGTACCAGTGTCACAGTCCCCCAGGTGACCGTTACCAGTGTCACAGTCCCCCAGGTGACCGTTACCAGTGTTGTGGTCCCCCAGGTGACCGGTACCAGTGTTGTGGTCCCCCAGGTGACCGGTACCAGTGTCACAGTCCCCCAGGTGACCGTTACCAGTGTCACGGTCCCCCAGGTGACCGTTACCAGTGTCACGGTCCCCCAGGTGACCGGTACCAGTGTTGTGGTCCCCCAGGTGACCGGTACCAGTGTCACAGTCCCCCAGGTGACCGGTACCAGTGCCATGGTCCCCAAGGTGACCGGTACCAGTATTACAGGCCCCCAGGTGACCGGTACCAGTGTTGTGGTCCCCCAGGTGACCGGTAACAGTGTTGTGGTCCCCCAGGTGACCGGTACCAGTGTCACAGTCCCCCAGGTGACCGTATAACACTGGTACCGGTCTATAATGGTCCCCCAGGTGACCGGTACCAGTGCTACAGTCCCCTCAGAGGTGACCGGGCCCCGGTCAGAGCGTGCCTGACCTTAGCTGTGGTGCGAGGAGCCAGACGAGAAGACAACCTCAACATTATACTGGAGAACTGAGGACTGTAGCTGGCTAGATCTTCCTCCTCTCCCTCCCACCTTCTCACCAACACTAAAACTCTCTCTCCCACGGTCCCACTCTCCCTCTCCCACCCCAGTGTCTCTCTCTCTCCCTCTCTCTCTCTCTCTGTCTCTCTCGTGGCTCTCAGATGTGGTTAACGAGCTCAGGGGTTATTTAGAAGGGTGTAAGGGGTTATGAGGGGTATTGTGGGCGTGTGAGGGCGGCGTGGGAGGAGAAAGAACCATCGGGGAGGGCGTGGGCGGTGGTGTCCTCTGTCGGGCCGCTGCACAAGCTGGTATATTTACTCGGGTGGTGTCTGTGGCAGGACCTCCCCCTCTCTTACTCTCTCTCCCACACTCTCCCAGGTAATACTGTGGGTGTGGTGGCGTCCCTGGGGGTCCCTGGCGGTCCCTGGCTGGTTAGGGGAGAGAGAGAGGGGTGTGTGTGAGTGCTAGTGGTGAGAGGAGCATAGTAGTGGGAGAGCCTCTCCTTTTCTCTCTCTCTCTCTCACGTCTATGTATATCTCTACCTCATTCTAGGGTTTTATTCTTTATTGGGATTACGGTGTGGTGGAGAGGGGAGAGGTTAGGGGTTAGTGGGGGATAGATAAGTATTGGAGGGGTGCGGCTTGAGGGAGCAGTGTGGTGGGATCTAAAGCTTGTACTCACGTGATAATATTTTCTCCAAAGCTTGTCAATTGTCAGCTTGTGTTGTGACACTTCTACCCCTCAGAGTCTTCTCTTTGTTTAATATTCATTGTTGGTACAGTATGAGATGATAAGAGTATAGGGGAAGGTCCTATTATCGAGGTTAGATATGGTGCCTATACATTCACAGTACTGTATGTCGATATACATTACACACCTGTATGAATACACAGGGCCTGAGGCTGAATTTAGTTTAATATACTATGTGCATTTTTTTTTTTTGTTCGGCACGTACACCATTGTTTAAAACGGTTTATTGTGAGGTCTGATATCGGAGTTTTGTTTTTTGTTATGCTAAAGTAACGGTGTATAATGTTGCAATCCTTTTCACTATTGTCTTCCTAATGCATCGTGGAAAATATTACATGAATTTGTTAAACACATTGGCAAAATAATAGTTTTATTGCGGACGGTCAGCCCGAGCATATTTTGGTATGTTAGGGTTATATCCAGGTATGTATATGTATACATACATGCAGTTGTATGCATATGCGTATACGTATGCACACTTTTCCTGGCCCCGACAATATCGAATTATCAGTAACGGTATCAGTATCAGCCTAAATGCCTCGGAAAGTTACCACTACAGTTAGGCAAGACTTTAGAATGTCTTCAATACCAGGCCCCTTTACAAACTTTAGTTAGCTATTAAAAAATATTATTTAATATATCGCAGGATACACGCTAATGGATTTTGGTATTCGGTAACCTGTCCGTTGGTATTATGCAATTTTAATGTTGGGACGGTGTGAATTCTATGGAAATTCTATGGAAATAGTCATATAGGAATGAGGTGGGAATAAGGTTCCATCGTTTCCAATGGTGAGAACGAGTTAAATGAGAGGAAGTTGTATGCTCTAAACCACAGAAAACTAGAACTTTTAAAGTGCCGCTGTCATTAAAATTGTCACTCTACTGCCAAAAGAAGTTGTTTTAAAGAAATGGTAGCTCTATATTAAAAAAAATGGTTAAAAAAATCATATAGAGTATCTATCTAAATTTTGACCTAGACAGTGGTTGATATAGCTTTCTGCAGTTGTCAACATTGTCTTGGCCACCATCACAACATAACTAGAAATATATTTTTTTGTTATTTTTCATGTGAAATGTGTTGAAAAGTAAGGAATCTGTATGCAAAAGCAAGAATGATACTAAAGTAAATATACAGTATACAATGAAGAATTCTGTTGGTCTAGGTAAGTGCTTTGAAATCTGTGCGACTCCAATTTTGTTGCCTACCACGACTGCTCGGAGGCAACATCGAGCTCTTAGAAATACAGTATATGGGCCAAAATTCATTTTGAAATATTGAAGCAAATTGTAAATACTGTAATCATTTGAACATAAGCACATTGCACTAGACCGTCAATACGTGACGATGACTGCTCTTTGAGGGTTAAATCTTGACAAAGTTAAAAATAACCTATGCGTGTTAGTGGCTTTGGTGATTGAGCGCAACATTCTTCCAATGTATATGTACTAACATAACAACCAGATGTACCTTGTTGTGTATATAAATAAATAAATTAGTGATTTGTAAAGAGGTTGAAACAATGTGACTGTTTTTTGACAGGTTGAAAGGAGAGGTGGACTAGTGCAGGTTGAAACATCGCAGCAGACCAAGCGGCAAGCACTTTCTGGAGGATCCCGTGTGTAATGCAATCAAACCTGCCCATGGAACACTGAAAGCATTGTGCTAATGTGTGATAAGCTAAAAGAAAAAACAGAAAAAAGTGCTCTCTTCAGAGGAATTACTTCGGTGGACTTGGCATTGGTGTGAAACCCCTTCATCCTCCCCTTCCCCCTTTCCCCCAAACCCAGTTCCACTTATGTTGTCAGTGGTTTGGTGAAGGGTTGTTTTGAAGTTGTAAGTGACTTGGACTACTACTCATCACCACCATGACGACCACCTTCGATCCTCATGATCGAGCCAGGTGAGTACAATGCAGCCTTTTGATTCACCACCTAACCTAATATCCTCAGTAAGGGGAGGACACTTTAGTGTATAAAAGTACTGTATGTAATGTATGGCACAGTATATTTCTGTACATGTGAAAGCATTTGGTTCCATTTGGAACCTTCAGATATTTAAATACAAAATTGTGAATGGTAAATTTTTTTACATGTGCTAAAAGTGTACAATTGTGCATTAAAATTGAAAAAAATGGTGTTTGGATGGGTATGCAAAGTGCAACCTATATTGTACCCTCACCGATTCATTGGTTATCACGTAATCATTTAATTTATGCTTAAATGGCTCAACACAATTGGCATTTGCACTTGATGGCTCTCTGACCATTATTCTGTACTTAACATTATGCATTTCCTAGTAGTAGTAGTCTGGTTCAATCATGACTCATTCGTGAATTCCGGGTTCGAATCCCAGCGGGACAGATGTGGTTGGGTGCATTTCCTATTGCTTAGTGCTTAAATCGAAATCTCTGAAAATTCAATTTATCAATGCAGTCAGAAACATTGAAATGGCATCGTAGCATATTTAGTATAGTGTGTTGCTTTTACGTTCAACAAATGGCACTGTTTTTCCAAAAAAGTATGTTTTTACCTGTCACAGGTGTGGAATCTATATACTGGTAGTATATAAAAACATGCACGTATTCGAATGGAGCGTTGTCAAAATTTCAAAACAATCGGTAAAGAGGTTTCGGAGATTTCCCTCGCATGAAAACTTGCATGAAAAACGCGGTTTAAATAGTGTTTTTACTTGTCACAGATGTGACATCTATGTACATACAGTGTAGTAGGTACAGTATATTAGCACACTCATATGCGAATGGAACATTGTAAAAATTTTAAAGCAATTGATGAAGAACTTTCAGAGTAGCAATTTTGAACAAACATACATTTACATTTTTATTTATATAGATTATTTTAATAATTACTTATCCTTAAATCTTTGTAACACTCCTTCAGTATCTTTAGATTTTTGAGTGAGTTAATGAGTCTTACTCTGAATTTCCCATACTGTACTTTTATCAACTAATTTCACTGAGCGTAATTATAATTTCAACTGATCATACGATGGACAAGTACCAAAAGAGCCTGTCAGCGAAGAGATTTTGCCACATCTAGCATATTTCTCGTGCCCCAGCCTTGAAACTGCATTGTTCAAGGATGAAGGATCCATATTTTAGTTAATGAAGTGCAGCAACTTGAAATAAAAATGAATAATAGAATTATGCTCGATGACTTTCACAAGACTCCAACTCTTTCTTACAATTATTGCATAAATCTATGAAAATCATTAAAAACATGATTAGAGCAATATTAAGGGTGTTAACATTTACACCCTATAAAGGCCCATATTTTATCAAATATTCCCCACTCTCAATGGGCTAATATCACTAATTTCATTTGAATGAAATTTTAATTTGAGTATCATATGATAGACAATATTTCCACAGGTCTATGAACTCTGGCCAGGCTTCCTACACAAATTCGCACATCCCCCGGCTTTGCCAAATCTTCAAACACTTATCCGGCAAAGCTGACGAGTAAATCCTGCCTGGAAAGTGTGCCTTTCAATAGGAGATTCCCTGAAAGGAGATTTGCTTAGAGTTGTACTGTAGTCACAAAATGCACCTACCGATGCACTTGTGTGCTGGCAAAGGACAAAAGTACATGGTGCCAAGCTACCTGTTCATTCGACCGGAGATTTAAGCGTAAGCCAGTATCGCAGGCAAAAAGTTTTTATCAAATACTGGATGTTCGTCTTGCATATTTTTAGTTACAGATTTTGTTTGTCGGAATTATTATGATATTATAGAGCACTATAATTTATTTTCAAAATATTTTATTTTAAACGTTTGATGTAATTGGTCGGTGAACTCTGGCCTCGCACCCTAAATCAATCTGCAGATCACCCGCTTCATCAAACACGTGTTCAGCAAATCAGGTGAATAAATCCAGCCTGCAAAGTGCGTGTTTCAATCAGAAATTCACTGAAGCGAAGTTACACTGTAGGAAACTAATGGAATTTTGGTTTTATGTGGTACCATATTAATTAATATACTGTATTCCATTACTCATCCCACCATTTATTGAGAGTGGAGAACTGGAAATTTTGTATGGATAATCCAAGAATCTGAAAATGGGGGACTTGGAAAAAGGGTTAAAGTAGGCTTTATTTTAGCTAAAAAAAATTATTTTTAATGTAAAATTTAGGATACCAATACATATACCAATTGTCTTGGCCTCTTGTTAAAGTAATGTTTGTGATTGCAAACTGCAATATATTGCAAAATGTTTGTGATTTAAAACAAGAATTTTTGTTGCAGCTGGTACTTTGGGCAGATGTCACGGCAGGATGCAACGGATTTGCTGATGGGAGAGCGAGAAGGTGGAGTCTTCTTGGTGAGGGACTCCACCACAATCCTGGGGGACTTTGTTCTCTGTGTCAGGTGAGACATGTCCACACATTAGAATGAGAGCGAGACCAGATGAGGGAGGGATAGGGTAGAGATGGGACACGAGGAAGGGTGAGGAGAGAGCCTTGGTAATGAGGGAGGCTACTTTTTTGTCAAGAGTTGGGGGTTACTCCCATTGTGGCCAGTCTAGCCCTGGTTCCAGGCTCTTCTCACTTACTCCAATTACTCCCCCATGACCAAGGCTTGACCTTTTCCTAAGGTTCAGTAAGTGAACTCTGTCGTGTTCTCTAGCAGTTTTGTTTTTCTGTGTGCGATTGTGTTAGTTTCGCATTTATCAGACAGTCAGGTTTGTTTGGGCTTGAGACTAGTTTTCTTTGGCTATGCTCTTTTCATTTATTCCTGGTTCCTAATATTCCTTCTGCCTTATAGTGGACTACTTCTTTGTCTCGATGTTATGAACATGTGGACATTTACAGCTTTGTCGGCTTTTTTGCAACTCGCAAGGTAGCTCTTTTTCTCTGTTTCTTGATGTTTCCAAAGCTTTTGACAAATTTAAACATGCCAATCTTTTTAGAGAATTGCTGAACAGAAAAGTATGTCCTTCATTGCTAAATATCTGTGTATTTCTTAGCTGTGAAATGGAGTAATGTCCACTCTGAATATTTCTTATTTCTCACTAAAAAAATGGAGTCAAACAGGGTACAGGTCCTTGTACAAACTAAATGTAGCATGCATTCTTAGTGCTATTATTTAACTAATTAAAGTAAAGTAAGATGTACTGTATACATTTTAAATGCAATTTAAGATTAAAACCTGAATTTTGCTCTAATTTCCAGAGAAGACAACAAGGTTTCACATTATATAATAAACAAGATACAACAGGCCGAACAAGTGCGCTATCGCATAGGTGATCAAATGTTCCCGGATCTGCCGTCGCTTCTTAATTTTTATAAACTACATTACCTAGATAGCACGCCTCTCATCCGACCTGCAGTCAAGCGCTGTGAGAAGGTGGTAGCAAAATATGACTTCGAAGGCAGTGTAAGTGTTCTGTTGACAATTTATATTCTTGCTTTAGTGGAAAGTTCATTTGATTTTCTTATTGAATGGCAAATTTTTAAAACTATACTTGGCTCATAAATATAGTATTGATATAGTATGTATAGTATAAAAACAGTATAGTATCTATAGTATAAATATAGTATGAGAGGTATGTGGAACCCCTACCTAAATGAATTTTAATGCCAAAGTTACCGAAATATGTTAAAAATTGTGCATTTTAGCTAACAATTAGTAACTGAAAAGATAGAAAATAAGCGTACATTAAATGCATCCTCAATATAATACATTCTTTTTTAGGATCAAGATGATCTGCCATTCAGAAAAGGAGAAATATTAACTATTGTAAGCAAAGATGAAGAACTGTGGTGGACGGCCAGAAATTCTATGAACCAAACGGGGTCCATACCAGTACCGTATGTGCAGAAGGTAGGCAAAAGAAAATAAAAAAATTTTTGTTACCAAATTTTTGTGGTACAGCAGAGTATGAAGTGCGAGTAGTGTAATAGTTTGTATTAAATATTTGTGGATTTGTACCTGTATTGTGTTTACCTTTTTGTGGTTGAGGGGATCAGTGTCCTTGCAAAGCCTGGTCAAATTTATTATGTATAATAAAAAAACATGGATATGTTCGCAAATGCTCGATCTGTTTACACTAGCAGTAAAAGGACAACAAACATTACTTGCATGCTTTTTTTTCGTCGGATAATTTATTTGCGGAGTGAAGAACATAAGATTAAAATTGACTGCAGAAGGCCTATTGACCAATACAAGGCAAGTCCTATTTATATCCAACAAAGTCACTTGTATAGCTGTCCAACCTGTGCTCAAAACAATCCATTGACGCCCCTTCCCCACATCTATATGTTCTGGTAATTTGTTTCATAAAACAACCCAAGGAAAAGATTTACGAAGCGGTTCCGCAAGCACTTGTGAACCTGTACATCTTTTCTCAATCTTTGGTGGCTTTGTTTATAATTATTAAACAGTTGATGAGCTTCGAAGCATATTATTTATAAATTAATATTGTCATATAAATTTACTTACCCTAGAAAGTACTAAAAATTTAAAGACGTTATGTTGTAACCAAAAATAAAACTTCTTAGTTTAAGGCGTGCATCTAAAAAAAAAAAAATAATAATAATAATGGTACTTCATAAGGAGTTAATTTTCTTGCTTTCCAACAGATATTTCATCCTTAAAGGTAGGATCATGTTTTGATCAGATGCTTTTCCTACAGTATGAAGAAGGAGAGAGTATTCCCGTGAACTCGACCCCAAATAGAGGAAGCACACAGTCTACTGAAGGCACACCACGCCCTAAACCAAGTCTTCAGGTCAGTGGTGTTCGACAACAGTGGCCATAGTCTATGGAATATTCTGAAACCAGTCGATTAATATATTTCAATATGACAAATTTACTACATCTTATGCTAGAGTGATGTTTTAAAGTATATGGAACTATGAATTATGAAATATCTTGTTTCTAGGTGACGTATGTGTAACCAATCTTCATTTGGAGTTGAGCCAATTATTTTCTGCCAGGTAGAGAATAGTAACTATAAAGTGGTGTGAGAATGCCTCCCCTATATTTAGCCATTTTAAATCATTAGAATGGAATAGATAAATTTACCCTATGCTTGCTGCTTTACACCTAGTGGTAAACATACATTCATTCATTCATACAAAGAGGTGAATTATACTGTTGTAAAGTGCAAATTAATAATAACAAGTATAAACTTCGGAGGCCGTTCTGCTTTCCAAACTCAGGTTGTTCAAACTGTACGTATTTTAATATTTGATCTGGAAGAGGTTGCCCTTCCTGCTTAAGAGACAGTGGCTTCCATAAATGGAAGCAATGCATCAGCCGAGGCTTCAACTAGCAGCAAACTCAAGAGGAAACATTTTGTCATGATGATATTTTAGCTTAAAAGGAAAGTGGAGTTTGAAGTTCCTAGAATGAGTGTGTGCATCAAATTAAAGTCATCAAAGTCTGTTTTCAAAATTTTTTGAAACTAAAGATGTTCTTGCTTATAATCCTCAGAGTGAGATATTGATTAGGACGAGGGAGCAGTCAGCTCGGGTAAAGTTAAAGTATGTTCACGATTTATTTTGGCAGTGGTGCAATCGATTTTGAGGTGGGGCAAAAACAGAAAAAGTGACAATGAAACAAAAACAGCCTTCTGACTGATTCAGAAGGCCAAGCATTTCCATAAGAAAATGAACATTATCAAGCAATGTGCGCATAGCAATGGGATGGCAGTCTACTAGTGTAGAAGGTGCAGAAAAGTACAGTATGTTACTAAATTTGAGGAGTGTGTGCAGGAGGAAACATAATCTAATTTAACGTAAATATTGTTACATGATCGTATGTGGAGGTACTCCTTCACCCTTGGTGAGTGCCCCTATGTTTATTTTTTTAATGATTTCTTTCAAATTTTATCATCATTAGTTTACTGTACTGATATATATTTTGAACACGAAACGAGTATTTTTCTTGGGTGTGAAGGTACACCCAGCTTTCTAGACGAATTCGATTTTTCATAAGAGTTCAGTCCTGACTGGTTTGGAAAGTGGGACAGCTTCTAACATAAACCACCACAAAAAATGAACATGAATGTTTCCTGGTTGAATATATTTTGTCAATAATTCTGCTAACCCCACTTGCCCTTGCATGCTTAGAGAGGAGTGGTCATTGATACAACAATCATCCAATGGTTCATAAGCCTAACCCGTTGCTATCTAGCCAAAAGCAGTGATGTGTCTATAGTCAAATTGTAAGTTACTAGAGAGAACCAGTGGTGTTTAACTTGATGGGGGAAATTGTACATAGCTACCATGTCATAGGAAGTGCTGGAGAGCATAGGAAACACACTCTTAAACCACAAGAATGATACAAGAGGTACACAAATACACATGTAAATGTTTGTAGATGATACAATGCTGATTAAAAATGGTATAGACTGGGGAGGATTGAAAGCTGCTGCAAGAGGACATAACATGCAGGATTTTGCAAACAATTGGCTATTAGTATGAGATTGCAGCAAATATAATGAGAAAGTAAGAATTAGGGTATTACAGTTTAGGAGTGAGGTAGCTAAAAATAATATAGGGAAAAAGGTCATGATTAATACTGGCTTTAAAATCTGAAATAGAGTAACATTGGCAATTTATACAATTGGAAATTGTAGACATTCTTGAATCGTAAACAGAGTTGTTGAGGGCAGTATACTGGTTCTTGTTTGACCAGTTGGAGAACATGCAACACAGGCTTGGAGTGCCCACCTTGATGGTTGAGAGATTTGCTACAAAAAATAGGTGTTGAACTTTAAAGCTCAGTTATGAAGCTTAAAGTTGGCTTTCAAGCTAAGGCAGCTTTCACACTCGTTTGGAGATAAGTGTCGTAAAAGTTACAATTACAGCTTGTAGGATATTAAGGGGGAATAGATGAGGTAGATAGAACAGTGTATTACATATCACTGGGAAAGCTGGTAACACAAATGATAAAGCTGGTAAATTACCAAAGCTGGTAACTGAAAATTTAAAAAGCTACTTGAGCAGGTAGGGTGGTAAATAAGTGACATGAAGTAGAAGTGGAGTAGTTTGCTGTAACTTTATATAGAGCTTTAAGAGCAGATACAACAGAGCTTTAGAGCATTGAGAAAATAGTATAGTAGGTGTTGATGGGCAGCAGAGAGTTCATCAGTGGATACTGGAGAGCAAATGAAATGGATCAATAGGAAATGTGGGAGCAGAAAGAAAATGGTTCAGTAGTGGATGCAGGAGTGCAAATAAAGTGGATTAGTAGTTGGGATAACAAAGCAAAGTAAATGGTTTGGTAGCAGATGTTTGAGAAAATAATCAAAGTAAGAAAGTACAGTACAGTATTAAAAGGCAAGATCTACAAGTAATATATCGGTTACCTTGGCACAGTATCCTACATGCATTAAAAACAGATATGGCTATTCATCACCAAGAGTGATGGAAAATCTAGTGTTGAATGTGATGATATGCTACCTTTTTTTTTTTTATGGGATCCTTTCAATGGCTCCCTGAACTTCTTGCCTGATTAACTCCAAGCCTAAGCTTAGAGTTTCACCCCACCACGACCATTATTTGGCTCCCTCAATATAAGTGAGGGAGTTGGTATACAGGTACTACATCAACCCAGGGTAACGGGTAACAGAAAAACAAAAGACATAGCAGCCCAAAACAAACATCTGCATGGAAACATTGATAACCTTGACCCAAATTAATCAAACATGTTATTCAGACCTAACTACTAGTTAATTCCACTCGCCCACCACCTGACAGCAGCTCCAGCATTGATTGCCCCCAGCAGGCATGACCACCCTGTGACCCCTCGAGAACCATGAAAGGGTTCAAAGGTGAGAGAACAATGGGGGGGGGGCCCCCCTCTAGAAGTGAGGACTCCCATGAACAGTGACATCCTGAGTTGCTACGGAGAACACAGGTGGTGTTGACTGCGTAATCTAAAGTCTGAGTGCTGGAGAGTGCACCTGCTGGGGAAAGAGGGGTGGTTGAATAGGGTTCTCATGGAGTGGGGAGGGTGCAGTTGAAGCAGGTGGCTACAGGAGTGGGTGAGCACAGGAGTGGCTGAAGTGATGCCCCCAGGCAGTTTATAAATGCCTTAAACTGCAGCTCTTTCAACAGTCAAGCTTTACAAATTACTTTTCTAAACAAAAAAAAAAAAAATACAGTATCTACAAAAGGTTTTTCTCTTGTCCACTTTATTAATTTACCACAGGTTCATGTTAATTTTTAAATTTCTATATTGATAGTAATAATTCCTTACTGACCAAACCATTTTAGTGTCCTACCCTGAACCTGTGACTTGACTGCAGGCTATACAATTTTATTAGCATGTCTGTAAATCTTGAGTTACTTACCTTTTCCACCCCATTACTGTTCTACATGTAGCACGGGCACGTTCAAGAGCAATAATGTAAGTACAGTATTCCAGAAAAATATCCTCAGACCTGCCGATTCAAACCCGAATATTTTTTCTTCTTTTTGTCAAGATTCTCTTCGTGTTATTGCTTATACAGTACTACCAGAGTTATTCATAATTTATAATTTTTATTAGTTTAGTAGTAAAATTAATACCGTGTTTCTTTTGCAGCGAAAGCTACCTGCGTATGCACGAGTGAAACAAGCCCGCGTTCCCAATGCCTATGACAAAACGGCCCTTAGACTGGAAGTTGGCGATGTTATCAAAGTAACGAAGATGAACATCAATGGCCAATGGGAAGGGGAACTGAATGGAAAAGTTGGGCACTTCCCTTTCACACATGTCGAGTTCATTGACAGTGAAAATTCAGCGGATGGAGATCCTAATTAAGATTCATTGCAGAAATGTGTTAAGATTGTGTAATTTTTAGATTTTTATTTTCCTAGTGATAATGTGAGTATGTATCTAAAGAATGAATGCTGGGCATCTTTTTCATGTGGATAGTGCAAAATGGTAAGGTTGTACATGACAAATTTTTTAAAGTTTGGATGAAGGAATCGATCCTGATTGGAGAATTTTTATCATATGATGAGTTTTTATGGTGTTTTATAGAAAAAGGTTAATCGAATAAGTACAGTATATTCAGAATTTTATACACGACTTACTGGTGTAATTGCTCCGCTAAAATAGAAGGCAGCATTCTTAATTGAATGGGTTGATTTTTATCGGTAATGTACTCGATATTTTAATAATTTTATGCCCATATACACTTGCACTGCAAGGAGCGTCACTCTCCCAGTCTGCATCAGCTCCTTCATTTTAGACGTGAAGAAAAAAGGCATTGAGAATTTTATGAACTTTGTGTTACTTTGACATGTCATATTTTAATAAATAGGGATAATAAAATCAAATAGGTTGCCTTGAACCAAATTTAGTTGCAAACAAATAGCACAAACTATTTAATGGCAAATAACCAGACTAGATTATGGCAGTTCTTTCACATTTCTTGCTAATGGATTCAACATATCACGTTGGCTCATGAACTATACCTGTTAATATTTGTAAATACTTACCCCCACAAGGCTTTGTTCCAAACTAGTCTAGGGACTACTCTTAGCTATACAGTATATTCGTATTGGATTGCATTTTACTCAACATAACTGTAATGCTCTCTGGTCACTGGTAGGTAATAGGTAGTGGTAAATTGTATAGATTTCAGTATCCAGTATAGGGATTTATATCCATAAACATACAACACTCTCTTATCATAAACAAATTTAACTTTTTTATTTTTTTTTACAAAGCAACTTTAGCAGAGAAAGCAGCTGAAAGTTGTAAAGTTCCCAATACTAATTATAAAATTTTATGCAAAAATGTTTAAAAATGCTGTAAGCAATGAAAATATATGTAATTATATCCTGTAATATTTACTGAACAAATTGCCATCTTTGTGATATACCTCATACCCATGAATTGTCCAGAATATCAATCTTTTTCAACCAATTGCAAATTACTACGAGTAATAATGCTCTGCATCTATATAATTCCTTCTATGTGCAACCTGTCTACAAGACCTTTTATTTTTTAAATATTGCATTTGGTGTCAGTGTGGTTTCATGTCACTATTCAGTAGAGATTTTATAATCTTACTTTGTCTGCCCATGTTTACTTGACACACTTATTGTTACAATGATAAGGAAAAGCACGTTCTGGTTCCATTGGGGAGGGAATTAAGTAGGTATGGATATTTGGCCGCATGTTGTGAAGTTACTTGACTTTTTAATAATTAAATTAAACAGTATTTAGTGTATCCTCTTGAGAAATTAGATAATTTTGATGGAATGAGCATCTGTCTCATTTCCAGCATCACTTTTGTTGGCCATGTGATTGGAAATGCCGTGTTTTTCTTCCCCCCCCCCCCCTTTACCATAAACATGATGGGGGGGGGCCATTGTGTTTATGGGGCCTACTCTTGCGTCTCGCACTTTCGTCCACGCTGTAATGTGGAATTGTCAAATCGTATACGTTTGATTAAGCAGACTAGCTTTTTTTTTCGTAATCCTTTATATTCGATTAAACAGTTACTTGTGTAAAATGCAGAACAAAATTTAAAATAAAGGTGTGAAACATTTGTTTATTGTAATGCAAATTTTGGGTCAATTGTTCCATCTCCAATTAAGAGATGGACGTCTCTTAATTTCATATATGATACTAGGAAATTTCGGAAGAGCAGAAGCATAGAAATGAACAAGGGGTTGTGTTGAATAGGAGATTGAAACAAGAGCAAGCGATTAAGAGGTATTGATATATGATGAAAGACGATGGGTTAGATTTTTGCCATTATGTATTGAAAAAAATACTAATTGCAACATCGGGCAGTTTTTTGTCCACAGAGCACAGAATTACTACATTGACAAATGGTTTTTTAATATGCAATGTAAGCAATTAAATAACATGCCAATATTGTGTAAAGACTACACCTACAACCTTGAATCTTTAACTCTGGATCATATCGTTTTGGAGCTGGTTTGGGTTTCCATTAAATTCTAATTTCCAGCATGCGATCTATAGCGTATCATCCTAGGCTACAAGGCAGTCCTTCAACCCCTGTACTGGTCACCCATTTTCTTTGATAACCCTGAGGTGTGCAGGGAATTAACATAATTTTGATCTTTCTAATATTGTTCAAACGTTCTTGATAATGGGGAAAACAAAAATGTTTAGCTATGATGGAGTTGAAGTCTTATGATGTCACCGATTCACGAGCGTTCGTGCAACAAATACCCTGAGGAGGTTGGCCAGGCTAGGAGCTGCTGAGAATATGTTTATACCGATTTTTTTTTTTTACATTCGTGTGGATATTGAAATTTCTATAATAAAGTAACATTGATAAAGAAATATATTCATGTCGCTAATATGCTGTTAATATTATATTCGTTAAACAATAAAACGCCATTTTATTCTGTGTCGTACCACTATGATACTGTACACACACAATTATATGTATACGATCTACATGCTTATGCAATTCTGGTGGGTGTGATAATCTCGTAACCATTGATCCAAGCTTGGCCTGACCTTGCACATTTTACACAAAGTTGTAACTGCATCCATTGAATATATTTTATTTTATTTGCATTTTTACACCCCCCCCCCCCCCCCCCCAGTGCAATGATGCATTCAGCTATCAACGTTACTTGTCACAGGACACGTAGAACATTGGTATGCACACACATTTGTGTAACTAATGTGCTCACCACAGTACAGTATAAAATCGAACAATAAAACATTGTGTTTTTCTGCTGTCACACTTTATTCACGTTACAAACGGTACATATTTATGTACCGTTAGGTTGCTTTTAAGCAGTTCTGGTGGGTGTAATAATGTCATATCCATTGATCCAAGCACAGCATAGTGCCCCCACGCTCATCAGTTGCTGGCAGCACCTGACAGTAAAGTGCCACTCAATATACTGTACTACACAAGCCAAAACATTGCTATTAGTAAAATCTGGTCACTAGATTCTGAATATGAATCATTTTCGCATGTCATTTGCTGTGGGTACATGAGGTCCTGTACCTACAGGACCTGTGCAATGAGGTCCCGTTGCATGGTGCATAAATGCGTCGAAACACTTCTGTGTTCCTCGCATCATGACAGTCGTCACCTGCATTGGGTTCACTAATATGTGAACTTTTGACGGTCTTTATCACTGTTGGGATCTTTTGTCATGGTTGAATAATTGTCATTGTTTATTTCTTTATTATTAAGTGATGCTGTGGATTAGGAGCTTCATGGCAGTGCTGTGAGTGAGCCGCCGCTGCTGCGTGTGCTGCTGATAGTTGCTGTTATAGTACTTGCCCTCGCATCCACGAGGGTTGCCCACAATTTATTGTTTTCCCCTCTTCTTCAATGATTGCATCTGTTTACTGAAGGCTTATAAGGAAGCAGGTGGGGAAACCCCATGTACCTGCAGAAGTTTTAAATGTTGTACTAGACATAAAATTGACCCTGGTTGACAAGCTCGCCACTAAAATGATCCTTGTTGATGTGCACTATTGAAGGGTTACATTCTCTACTGTGATAACTTCTCCTCTGACTTTTACTAAAAATATATTGGCCACCCAATTGGCCTGTAACATACTAAATATTCCCCCCTCCCCCAGTTTTTCCATGTTGGAAAGTTGGGTGAGGTTAGACCCAAGTGTCTGGCCTACAACCCTGAAACAGACACACACACACACACACTCACTTTTTAATAATTATACTGTAATAATAATTCAGTGTGTCGGGGGACAGGCAGCCAGAGTGTATTCATACACATTAGGCTTTTATCGAAATCCAGAGGTTGAATTACTGACCCCGCCCAGGATGCGACCCCCCCACAACAAGCTTACTAACTCCTGAGTATCTATTTACTGCAAGGTGAAAAGAAATGTGCCCAACCATTTCTGTCCCGCCCAGAATTCACAATTGTGTGTCGAGAATGAACCCGAATGTACTACCAGGACATAAAAACAATAATATAAAACGTGTATAAATAACAAAACAAACGGTTATTGATGAAACTATGTACAGACTGTATAGGGTAATTCCATGCTAAAATGTTACCAGCCCTTCCCCCATCTGGCAGCCCATGTATTGTGCCCAGAGTTGACCCCCATCTCTATCCCTTGAATTTACCCACCCATGTATTTCTCCCCTTGTGGAAGAAATACATGGGGCCATACAAGTGGCAGTCCATAAACAGATTTTTATTCCTCTTGCCAAGAACAGATTTACCTGGAATATAGGTGTAATTATATTGTAATGCAGGCTTAAATACAATACAGTACTGTACTCTCAGTTTTTGTCAGTTATGTGTAAATTGAGTTATTTCATACATGGTGAAAAGTAAAATGGCAAACATTTTAATCCCCCCTGACACTATCATTGTAGTCCTGGCCTCGACTTGGCGAGTCAACACCACAGCTCGCAGACCAAGTCGCCTCCCTGACTTGTCAATTTTTCAATGTGCATGAAACCCTCCTTGAGGGTTCCTCAAAAACAAGTTTTCCACATGCAAATGTATAATTTTATAAGATTTTTCTTCTTCTTTTTCCCCACACAGGCAGAGAGGTGCCCTTGATCATAGCTGCACCTCAGGGATAAGAATAAGTTTGGAATCATTGCACTTTGTGAAAATGGTGATGTGAGTGGAGATAGAATTAAGGGTAGGCACAATTATTGTATGATATTAGGAAAGGGAAAGAGAAATACATGCAACACCATCACTTGTATAGTAATTTAGGGTTAGGTTAATGTACAGAATTTAAGTGCAGTATTGCAGTGTTCAGGAGTTAACTCACCAAGGTAATTTTAACTCTTATTGTCATTCTATTTTTTTTATTTCTATGAAAATGCTATTATGACAATGTAAATTTTATGTTCATTATATTTGGACAAATTAAGTTTGTGGTACAAAAAAATAGCCATTTTGTTAATTATCTTAATGTGGTGTAAGAAATTTGGGCAATTCTAATCTCCGCTTGATTCAGATCAGGGTCACGCTCATGTGATCTGAATTTGCAAGCTTAGACGGAACGTTTATGAAGTACTTTTTGAAATTGGTAAATTATGCTGTGATAATTTAGAAACTACTACAATTGAGCAGTGACTGCAATTTTCAAATGCACGACACATTTACTGTTTCATGGGGATATTATTAGATAAATTTCTCTGGTTTTACTGCCAGAATTTCAATTCTATTAAGGCATTTCTTGTATGATGTTTTGGTAAAAAAAAAAAATGCTAATATTAAGTAACTTTGGTATGCAAAAACACTACTTTTTGTAAGTATTGGGAATTCAAAAGCTCTTGTATGATAAATATGTTGTTCATGGAAGGAATTCATTTCTTTATTATTCTTGTGAAGTTATTCAGTGCTAAAACCAAGTTTCATATATTGATCCGTAGGCATTTTTATTGAATGTGGTTTATAATTTGTTGTGATTACTACTATTGTAGCAGTACAGGACTGTATTTACATTTATTTCTCATATTCCCCCTTGGTAGCTTTCTGGTACCTTAAGTCATAGAATTACCAAGCCCTAAGAACTGCACCAGGCCTCTGAGGCTGTTATTGACTCACTAGGATCACACTTAGCCAAGAATCACACTATTTGAGGCGAGTTGGGGAGCCTTGATATCATACCATGGGCACAGTGTCCATGACTAATGTTAATTCACTGTTGAATTAGCATTACTCTTGGATGTTGTGCCCACTCGGTAGATCTATGAAAAAGTGAGACATTTTGTGAAAAAGTATAGACAAAACAAAATGAACGACTGTTTGTAAGGATAAAATGAATGAAGAGCAAAATGAGGCAACCAATCGTTGCCATGGGTGAACAACTCAAAACACTAATACATCTGGCTACCACCATATGGCAGCCCAGG